TTTTGTAATAAATTTGATAACTAAATTGATTATTAATTCTTTTTTGAATTAATGTGATTGGCACTGACAATTATTCTTTTACCATACTTACAACAATTAAGAATATCAATTTTAGTAACGTTCTTGAATAAATTTTACAATCTTTAAATAAGAAATTTGGATTAGTTTATTGAAACTTACAAAAAATACAAGAGCAAGTAAAGTTTGAATCAAATTTTTTATAGTCTAAAAATATTGTTAGATTAACACATATATGTATTCTACCACATTTTGTGATTTTTCACTTCTTATAAATTTTGTCCAATGTTGCTCTAACTCTCCATGAGCATCTACTTGTATTATTTGGACACTTTAATGCAAATTTGTTGACTTTAATTTCATCACAAAATAATTCTAATGTATTTTCATTCCAAAATATTTAATAACCATTTTTATATCACTTTTAGACTCAAACACTTGTCCAACATATAATGTATCACCCTCCCTTCATACTTCATCTACGTGAACATCTAATTTTTTTATTTTTTTATTAGCATATTCCCAATTAATATAAGTATAATGCAGACTTAATTCCAAAAAGGAGTTTCAATCACGTAAGCATTAAAACCAAATCCTCAAGTTGATATATTTTATTGACAAAATATATAAATTAAATTATAAAATATATAATACTTTCGTGTGGTACATTTTCATGACTATTCAACATCGAATTAATATCACCTTCCACATTAGTATTAAATGAACTATCTATTAAAAATTTCCATTCATTTTCATTGTCATTAACATACTAATCCTCGTTTTCACTTTCTACATAATCATAAAATTTGCTTTCACGTAAAGATAGTTATAACAAATTAAACATCAATTTTCATCAAACCAAAAACATTACTATACCTGATACATTTAAGTCTACACCTTCTATCCGAATACAAAAACTTTCACCAAACGCAAAATCTGCATATACTTTAATTGTACTCCTATGATTTTGTTGTAAAAAGGTACTTAACATATAATTAATATCTTTTTCATCGCATATATCTATAATTGTATATTGTCTACCAATTGGATCTACTAAATATCGTAAAATCAATCTAAATATAATCTGATTAGTAGACAATTTCAATTTTTTATGAATCTTTCTTTTCAATAACTCAAAACTTATTTCACATTCAATCTTAATCATTTTATTATCTCCTTCAAAGGTAACACCCTCATTACTTGAAAATATTCTACCATTTCAATATACTATTATCACAAAATTAGTCATCTTGTATCAACAAATTAAATACACATACAACAAATTAAATCAGTCAAATTTAACAATTTTATTTTAAATCATATAAATTTTACATCAAACATACAATGATAAAAATATTTTATTTATGTTATCAAGCCTTGTTTATTAAGTATTTACACATACAACATTTTCCTTTTTTAAATTATACTATGTCAATAATTGTTTATGTTCTCTATTTTATATAAAACTAATTTATTTTTTAACTATATTTATTTCCTATTTTTACATATTTTACACTTTTTTTAATAAGTACAACTTTTTAACAGCATATTAAATTTATAATAAACTATTTTTATTTATAATATCTATTTTAATTTATAAAGGACAAAGTAACATAATTCTTAGTTTATAAATAATTTGAAAACTCTACCATGCAAGATTAAATAATACTGCATTAATTTATATTTTTATTGTTTTCTTCAATTTTAACACAACAAAATTAGTATAATTATATTTTACACAACAGATTTGTATATGCATTATTAAATTGTTTGAATGCCATATATGCATTAAAATCAAGGTAACTGTAACAGTTTATTTTTTTTAACACTGTATTAATTTATTTAAAACACAAATACAAAATGTTCATAAAATTTTATCACACATTAATAACCTTATATGTCACATCGTATTTATATATAGTTTACTTATATCATATTATATTTTTATATCATTTTCAATCATATCATAATTTATTATCTTTATTAAATTCTTTTACATCATTTATATTTGTTCCCATAAATTTGTAATTTTTAAATAATATCTACAAATTTTTAATCATTTATACATAACAAGTTACTACTATCATACATAAATAAAATATTGACATTATTTATATATTATTTTCTTTCTTAAACAAATTTTCATCACACTAATACAATTTTATTTTAACTATTAATTAAAAAAACAATTTCATAAAAATAACTAACATAAAATATTATATTTTTTTTATAGACTACAAATAAATAAAGCTCATAATAAAAAAAATTAAAAACACAAAACTATAATTTAACTAACTTTATAATATCACTCTCCGCAGTTTTCTTCCTTTCTCCAGCGTAAAGATGTGCACATTTGTGGAATAATTATATATATATATATATCTCTTAAAAATTAGATAAAAGAGTGCATACAAATTAATATCAGCAGATAAAAGAGTGCATACAAATGTATTACACTCTGGCGTTTAATAGCTTTGCCACAGTTTGACTAGCATATGCCTATCGCTCTTGACCAGCCAATTTTGCATGCAACACGTGTCACCATTCAAACTGTTCCTTGTATGATTCTTTTGTTTAGGCTATATTTATTCTCTCTTCACCACGTGTGAATCTCTTGACATGTATAAATGGATGCAAACTTAATAAAAATATGCCATCGGACATGTAAGTATAATACAAGTGTTGATTTGACCAAAATTTATATTAGACATGGAATATGTTTTTAAAAGAAAATTTTATTTTAAGAAATTATTTAAAAATAGTATTATTTAAATAAATTTGCCGAATATTTGTTTTACTTTTCGCCGTGCATTCAAATTAGATCGAAACTACAATGTGAATTTTTGTGACGTAAGGGTGAATATTGACGTAGGAACTGAATTTATATATTAAAAAATTTCAAACTTCAAATTGAAACGTACAGGACAATCTTTCCAAATAAAGAAAAGTTAAAATTACAATCAGATTCACAACCGACCCAAATATAAAAAAGAGAATGAACTTTGTGCTGGTCTGAGAGGGAGGTACTCTTCTCTTTCTAAGTATCTAATGTCTACTCCTAGATTTAAGTCCAGAAAATTTAATGGAAGATCGAGTTTCTGTTCAACATGCGATCATATGAATCGAGAGGGAGAATAAAATTTGCTTGCAAGGAATTAAAATCTTAAAGTCAAAAACAAAAAGTTGCTTCGCCAAATCTTAAAATCTTGCGTGCCATTACACTAAATAGGAATAAATATAAGTTTCATTGTCAATTTTATTTGAATATTTTGCTGTCCTATAAAACTTAAAAAAATAAAGATTAATCTAGAGCAGTTAACAATGTAAATAAAATCGCATAAGAAGAAGAACGATCCAAACAAAAACAAAAGAAAATTAAAAATAAACCGTTCTACTAAAATTTCAAATAGAAATAAAATTCTAAAAAATATTTCTGAATTAGATAGCTGTAATCAATAGAATTCAGACACACAAGTTAGGTGAGTGCTAGCTCAGCTCTCTAGAAAGAAGAATTAGATTTTGATGCAGAAACAAAATACGCACTCCAAAGCAAAACACGTAGTTAACCTAATTTGACTCGGCTCAAAAGCGGCTTAGCCACAGGTCACACGCGCCAGCACCCCACATTTTCAGTTTTCACGGTTCTGCCACGAAATCTGAACTCGAATCGCAGGAGGACTCATCAGAGCGTAAGCGAGAGATGTGTATGGGAATAAGTATTTATATATATAGTTTATTTTGAATAAAACTGAAGTTAAGCTACAGTAATTTACGTTTAAATTTTTCGTTATAAATAATTTGATTATAAATTCTTCACGGTAATGTATTGTATGGTCATTACAAATTCATAATTAAAAGTTAATTTTCTCAGTTTAAATTTATTTTCTTTTTTTAAAGCATGCAAATAGAGGAAAGAGAAGTAATTTTCCTCTTACAAGATCAAACATGTAGTGTATTTAAATTCGTATTTAAATATACATAAATTAAAGTTCACTTGACCATTATTAGTCATAACTTAAAATCGGTTTTATGAACTTTTTAACATGCTTTCATATTTCAATCACAATGATAATTATTAACCAGCAAATTAATGACGTTTCTTGGTCAACACGAACGCCAATCTATAGAAGCCAAGTAAACTCCTACAGAATCGAGATGGGACGTGTTACCTCACCCTTTCAAGCCCATGCTGCCTCTCCTCTTTTGTTTCTTTATCTCCACTTGCAGTTCAAAAATGAAAGAAGCAGACAAAGCAATCATCGCTTACGTATGTCGTTGTAAATACAGTTTTTTTTTTAGAATTATGTTCCATGGATATAAACATAATTTGATTATCATGTTAAAATGTTAGATAATTTTAAACTTGCATTTAAATAAACACGATAAATTACATGTTTTGTATTAACTTTAAAAAATATTATTTTAAAAAAGATTCTGAATATAAAATATATCAATTGAATTAATTTAAACTCAAAATTACGGTTAAGAAGTGTTTAGTAAAAGATTTAGTAACTCCAACATAAAAATATATAGCTATAAATTAATTATATTTATAAAATTGCATGATTTAAATAATTTTAAATATATCTTACCTGAATATTGTAACATGAGAAATTAGAAAATGTAAAGTAGTGGACATGGGGTCCCACATGGGAGCAGCCACTGCTCAAAAAGTGGAAACGGCCATTCCTACTCCGCCACCGCAAGTCGGCAACGACAATGTGAAACCATTGCAACTAGCCCCTATCCATCTTTCATGTGAATAATGTTCCCGTGATGGGATTGACTTCATTATTGGAACACGCTCTCGATTCATCCCCAATCTCTTCCTTATATTTCTATGCGCCCCCCCCTCTCTCTCTCCCCTATATATAGCTTTGCAGATATATACGCCACTTACGTCCTATAATATTTTATCTCTTCCAGCATATCGGGGGAGGGTTGATCCAGTGTTTGTTTCGTTAATCTCGGAGAAATTAATAATGTCGGGTGAGGAGTCACAGAAGAAGGTGTTTGATGGAGAAGCAGCGTCTTTACTTGTGAAGGAGTTGAGAGGAAGCTTTGGCTCTGGAAGGACGCGAAGTTATGAGTGGAGAGTGTCGCAGGTGAAGGCTCTATTGAAGTTGGTGGCTGATAACGAGCAACAGATTGTCGATGCTCTTCGTTCCGACCTCGCTAGACCCCCACTCGAAACCGTCGTCTACGAGGTACCCTATTACTCCAAACCGTGTTCTGTGTTAATTAATTGCTTTGCTTTTATCATATACTACTCTTTGATTGGTTGTGTCTCTTGATAGTTGAGAGAAACATCATGCAATTCTATGATATTTTTAGAATAATAATCTTTTGCCAAATATCCTGTTTATCGGTGTGCCAATTGATTGAGTTATGCGTAAGTTGATAACCATCTTGAATGTATGATTTTGTGTTTTCTTAACCATGGACTTTAATACCGGCGATGAGTTGTGGCTGCATGTTATTTTTCAATTAAGGACGGCATGTTACTCACTTGAGAAAGTTAACTGCTGGAGTTTTCTGAGGATCAGCTCCTTCTATGGAAGATTGAACTTCGAATTATATTTTTTTCCCCTTTCAACAGGAGAGTGTTTATAACCACCACTCTAACATGTTTAATAATTTTTTATTAAAATTTATAGTATTTAATAATATTAATATATTAAATCTTACAGTTTTTAATAAAAATTAATTCGGTGTCTTTACACATCTGTTAAAAACATGTAAAATTCAGAAAAGTGCAACCGCGTGATGAAATAACTATTTAAATGCTCACAGTTCTCAGTCATGCATCTGCCGGTGGAGTAATTCCTACTTTGTCAAATACATAATAATGTTTGTCGGAATGGAATGTTTTTAGTGGGGAAAATAGGCTGGCGATTCTGTTCTTTTAATGGCATTAGATCAAATCTAAGTTTGTTTATTAAATAAGATAATTAAAGTATTCAAAAGTTCCATTTATTTATATAAGCCAAACATAGAGTCATTTAAAATGTATTAAATATATTTTTTTATTTGAGTCAACCTTTTTTTTATTAAAATAGTTGATGACTAGTATACAGGTTAACTTTACACCTATTATTAAAAGACATGATAGTCTATTTGATTGAACAGCACGTGATAATTTATTTAAGATAAAGTTTGACTTGACTCATGTTGTTTTTAATTAAATAATTTATAATTTAATTATGACAATAAATTAATATTAAAATATTTTATTTTATGATGAAATATTCATGATAAATATAGTTTAATAAATGCGGATAATTATCACTCATTATTTTATAACTGTAAAGATATTGGTTTATGAGCAAGGACAAATCTAAAAAGCAGGCAAATGACAGGGATACAAAATAAGTAAATTTCAATGTGCATAATTAAATTAATAAATTATAGCATTACATATTTTATTTGTAAAAAATTAAAATACGTTTAAGATTTCTAGATGGGGTCAAGGACCTTGCTTTCCTTGATGAATTTATGCTTGTTCGTGAAATAGATTATTGTATAAATTTAAAACACATAATTTAGGTGTATTGTTCATTAATACATTGATGTAGTACTTGCCTTGCAGATTGGTATGTTTAAAAACTCATGTGAAGTCACACTGAAGGAATTGAAAAATTGGATGATGCCAGAAAAGGTAAATTTTATCTGAATTTCTTCCCCTGAGAAGGAAATTGATCATCAATAATGTTGCTTCTATATATAGTTTATTTGACTCATGATCATCACATGATGTTCCTTTGATTTCAGGTCAAAACTTCAATCACAACTTTTCCTTCTGCAGCTGAAATAGTACCTGAACCGCTGGGTGTCGTGTTAGTCATCTCAGCATGGAACTATCCATTTTGTATGTTAATATTTACTTGACCTTGAATTTTATATGATTTTCTGATGACATTTTAGCCTGTTCATTCCTTAAATTTCTTTCTTAAAGAAATCTGTGATGTCATAATATTACATTCTTTATGTGTGTTTCCAGTGTTGTCTCTTGATCCAGTCGTTGGAGCTATAGCAGCTGGTAATGCTGTGGTTCTAAAGCCATCAGAAATTGCTCCTGCCACATCGTCACTGTTGGCAAAATTGTTAGAAAAGTACATGGATAACTCCTCTATAAGAGTTGTCGAGGGGGCAGTTGATGAGACAACCGCACTATTGCAGCAAAAGTGGGACAAGATTTTCTATACAGGTTTTGCTTTTTTATCATATCATTCTAGTTTTACTCACAATTGATCAGCTTTTATGTATATTATACAAGTGTAATTTTGAAATCCCTCACCAGAGAACTAAGTAAATGCATATATAATTTGAACATAGAATAGTAAAAGAGTAAAATGAATTGTCTCATTCAAGTTATATACATATTTTCTAGCATGAGTAATTCCTGGATTAATTGTTAGGTAATGGAAGAGTGGGACGCATAGTGATGACTGCTGCTGCGAAACACCTTACACCAGTTGTGCTGGAGCTTGGAGGAAAATCTCCAGTTGTTGTTGATTCAAATGTCAATTTGCCGGTATTAATAATGCCCAAGCCTTGTGTTTTTCCATTTACTTTGCTATCACCTTAACCTCCTTCAAACTCATTCTTGACTTAAATTAATTAATTTGTACTATTTATAGGTAGCAGCTAGAAGGATAATTTCAGGCAAGTGGGGATTGAACAATGGACAAGCATGCATTTCTCCAGATTATATAATAACAACAAAAGAATATGCTCCCAAGTTGGTATGAAATTTTCCCTATGTGTAATTGTGTGTTCTGAACCTATGTCTTTCTTTATTTAGTGTTTGGTGCCTCCTATTTGTAGGTGGATGCTCTAAAGACTGAATTGGAGAACTTTTATGGAAAGAAGCCGTTGGAATCAGAAGATTTGTCCCGCATTGTGAATTCCAACCACTTTGCTCGCTTGAAAAAGCTATTGGATGATGATAAAGTTTCGGGCAAGATTGTTTATGGAGGTGAAAAGGATGAAAGCAAATTGTAAGTTATTCTATTTTTAGCTTCAACTTTGTAGTTTATTGGTAGAGTTTTCATTCCATGAAATGCAATAGATCTTACGCCTGTATTCTATTCCCAAAAATTGCAGGAGGATTGCCCCCACTATTTTATTGGATGTTCCACGAGATTCTCTGATAATGGGTGAGGAGATATTTGGTCCATTGCTTCCCATCATCACGGTAGGAATAAAGAACTGTTTGTATAATGTTTTCTTCAAATTTTATTTGTATCCTTTGATTTCTTTTCCAATATACCAATATGATCAGAGTAATTCATATGTGCTTCTTCTGGTGGGATCAGAGTCAAAAATCAATTCTCACCTCGTAACTCAATACTGACTTGCAACATCAGAAATAAGATATTTCAATTGTTTATATACTATTTTATCTTATTTTATAAGAAATAAACAATAATTCATTAAAATTAATAAAAATAATTATGCAAATAAATTTATATTGCATTTTAAAATATTTATAATATTAAATAATTATATTAGTGATTCATATAACAAATAAATGAGTTTTGAGTGCATGAATGTCTAGTTAACATAAATTTTATATTAAATAAAAATAAAAATTATAATTAATACGTCTAAAAATATAATTTATTTTTATAATTAAAATAAAAATACTGATAATTAATTTTTATAAAAGAAAGTCCGAGCTAATATTACTTAACTAGTACTCGTCTACAGTTCTACGTACATTTACAAAACTTTTAACATAAATATTAAAATTAACGTGAAAACAAGTGTTTATAATTTGACAAGTTCTCAGCAATAAACTTTAAATTTGCTTCTTTCTATTTTAAAGCACGGAAGATCAATTATAATTCTTTCTGGCTTTCTTGGATTGAAACAGGTCAATAAACTGGAAGAAAGCATAGATGTGATCAACTCAGGAACAAAGCCCCTCGCTGCATATTTATTTACAACCAACAAAAAGTTCAAGGAGCACTTCGTAACCACTGTTTCTGCCGGGGGATTGCTTGTCAATGACACAGTCCTACATGTAATATTTGTTCTTTCTTTTAAAAAAATCCATGAATATTGCATGAGTTTGAGTGCGTGCATGCATGCATATCTATATGTGATTCTTATTACAACTGAACAACATTGAAGGTCATAATAAGCTTCAAAGTTACCTTGTGAAGCAAATATTGAGATTCTTATATGTGCATATAGGCTTGTTAAATATTGAATATACCTAATTTTTGTTTTGAATTGATTTGAAATTGAGCATTCTTAATTCATCTCTATTTATTATTTTTCCTTGTGCAGCTGGTGGTTCATACTTTGCCATTTGGGGGAGTTGGTGAGAGTGGAACGGGTGCATACCATGGGAAATTCTCCTTTGATGCATTTACACACAAAAAAGCAGTACTTTATCGTAGTTTTATAGGTGATGCGTCAATAAGGTACCCACCATACACGAATACAAAGATGAGGTTGATGAAGGCTCTCATTGGTGGTGGTATTCTTAACATATTTCGTGCTCTTTTCGGATGGTCCTAAGCGTAACTTGTATTCAAATATTGCTGTTCTTGATGTATCTTTCGTTCTGTCTTCTTTGTATTTTTAATGTCCTTTTGTTTAGTTTTATTTATTTATTTATTTTTCGAATAAACTTGTTAGGCGAGACTTGCGCCGTTGTGCATGAAAACACGAGTTATAGATAGTTATTGGCTTATTGCTACTTTTCTTCATTTTTTTTATAGATGTCTTGTAGTTGTAGTTGTAATGCCCTTTTTAAGAGGTTAAGCTAGTTAGCCAAAAACAGTTGGTATCTACAATTTAGTCCCATAATTTTTTTTTCATATTAATGAACACAGATATAAGTAAATTAACACATTTCAAAATTAAATTGTAGATCAAATATAAATAAGATGTCACTTTCACGAATTAAATTGTATATTTATTATTCGATATAAAAATTGTATATTTATTAACTCAGTGGTATAGCAAATTCCACGTTGTTTTTCAACATGTATTTAAGTTGGCGATTTTTATACTGCACTAGTGTTCCTTAAGAAAAAAACTTGCTTTTTAATAATTTGACGTATATCTTTTTGTTTTCCATTCAATCTTAAGCTTAAAATTCTCAATTTTAAGAAATTAATTCTTTCAACAAATCATTAAAAAAAAAAAACTAATTAAAAAAGGCTAGTTTCTTAAAATTAAAACTTCGAAACCACCGTTCAGCGTGACTAGAAAATTGTACTAAACCATGAAAGGGTAGGCCTAAACTGCAACTCACATAAAGGTAAACTTTATAAAAATGACACGAGCAAAAAATTATTATAAAAAAAATGAGAATCTTCTTCCTTAAATGAAACTATTTTAGAATATATTTTAAGAAAATATATTTTTATAAGTTATTCTCTTTCGTTACTATGCCATATAACTTCTACATTTAGTATTTATTTATTTTTAATTTCAATTTAAATTAGTTTTTCTTTATTTTAATCATATTTAATATAGAACAGTTTTATTAATAACACAAATAATTAGCTTTTTTATATTTATAAAATTTAAAAATGATTATACAACATACTTTTAATTTTTTATTTTAAAAATATTTTAATTTAATAATATATATTCACACACACCATAACACATGATTCGGGCATGAATGTATATGTAGCAAATAGAACCTTTGAAAATATTATTCTATGTACGGAAAATATTTTCCTTTTGTTGAAAAGGGCCAAATTATTAATTTCTCCTTTTCTTGGTACACTGTCGTATCAAAGAATGGGAGCTGTTTCTACCATGCTGAATAGCCCGGCATGGGATTTTGCAGATACCATCCTAATTTTTTTTTTTTTTTGTCCATTTGCAAACATAGAAGCTCTAACAGAGTTGGTTTCCATTGAGTGATTGGTAAAGCAATTTCCAATACACAATTTCCTGAGGTTATATACTCTTCGTGTGATTCTTATTCTATCAAGATCACAGTGCAAACAATTTTAAACCAACAAGATAAAGCTAATGTACACTAAAGTTTCCATCCTAAGTTTTAAAAAGTGCATTAATTTGCTTTTGGGGCTTATGGTTGAAAATTTTAATCTATTCAATTAGAAGAAAAGAAGGTTATTGCTTTGGGGGATCTAAAAAGGCTTTGATGGATCAACAACAACCCTGTAATATACGAACAACCTGTGATCTTTGACTACATGTGAGTTGTGTTGGAAACTCAACTAGAAATTGAATTCTCAAATTACCTCTCTTCCCCGGTTCTCTTGAAATTGGCATGCCTTGGCCAGGGATTATCTTCTCAAAGCCAGGGTATATGATATTTTCCAATGTCAAATTCATTTGCTCTTCACACAACAGGGGCACTAATATTGTACACCCAGTAAGTGCCTTCAGTAAAGGAATTTCTAAACTCAATTGCAAATCATCCCCTTCCCTTCTAAACAATCGGTGTCTTTTCTCTGAGATGAAAAATATTATATCTTCTGTGTATGCACCAGGTCTCTCATTCCCTTTTCCTTCAAATGTTATCTTTGTTCCTTTTGTCCATCCTGGCTGTACATTTATTGTTAGCATTTCCTCCTCTTGAACTATTTCCCTGTATACAACAAATAGCAACCTTATTCATGAGGCTTTTCCCAAATACCCAGTTAAATCCTAAGCTTTCAAAAATACTCACACTTAAAAAGAAAAAGAACCATATAGTATATAATGAAAAAGAAATGTTAGTCATTATGCTTGTTCCTGTTAATATAATCTTTATCTGACCAAATTTCAAGTTTTAGCATAAACATCAATACTAGGATTCGTTATACTAACAATATGAAACACCAATATTGCATACCAATAAACAAACAAATTGATTTATACCTTCAATTTTCACAATATTAGTGTGATGAATCATTCGATAAGCATAGACTTATAAAATTTATACTAACAAAGATTATAGAATGGAGGCAATCCTTAATGACTAGTATTTCTTTTCCGTTAGTACATGACATTTCTTTGTTAACATCTGCTAATATACTTCTAAAACACAACTGCATATATATTGGCAAACTGAAGTCTGAAAATCAGAAAGAAGGACACTAATCAATGAAATATTGATGGGAAAGAATAGGATACGAACCCTGTGTCTGTGAGGACATCCCTTGAGATCATGATCTTTTTCTTGCATCCATAGCACAGCTCTTCGAGGGTGCATTCCAGCTTTTTCTCAATTGGTGGGGGTTTTAGCATCCCAGAAGAATTAGAATACATGATTGTAGTGTTTCTCCTAAGGCTTCCATTTCTTGTCTGAAGATGTGGAGGGATTTTGAAACTGCCACTTCTGTTCCATGAACGAGGGGTTGTTGGCAGATAATCGTCACTCTTGTTTGAGGTATGATTTATCTTTCTCTCTGCATTTTTCGAGTGAGAATTCATGGAAGGAAAACATGAACCATCCATGCTCCTATTCCTATATAAACAGCATCCTTTCAAAATCATTGGATCTTTGTTGTAATTGCCTCTCAAAACATCGCTATTCAATCTGAAGCTGAGAATTTCATTCGTGGTTTTATCTTCTTCAACGTGTTCCTTATGAAACAAAGACTAGGTAAGAATTTTTATTTGATTTTTATCACCTTCCTACGTGCAAACATGCATGCATGTAATTTCTATGTATGGAAAATGCCATTCTCAAAATTTAATGGACGACCCATGAAGTCAATTTGTGAGAACTTCATTGATTTATAGCCACGTTTTTTGTAATAAATTGACCGTGATTTACTATAACAACCTGGTGCCCATGTTTTGACTTTTGAAGAACCAAATTAGAAAGAGTGTTTCTAGATTCTACCTATTGAGTTTGGTTCTGACTTTGTGGGTTATTTTGGGTTGAGGATGATGATTTCTTGTTCTGATGAAACAACCCGTTGATGATTTATTTGCATGCTACGTGAAGGCCGAATGGAGTTAATAGCAAAAACACAGGTAATATCGACCATGAGAGAGAAAAAAGAAGGAAGAGGAAATAGAAGATGTAGCAGTGACAATCTTATCAGGATCAGGTGAATGCATTGTGAACCAAATTTGGAGCGTAAAATAAGAGTCCTTTATTAGCACCATCTGTTATTAGGAAGCGAAGACTTTTTTTTTGTGTAGATTTTGTGAAATTTATAATTACTTTTTGAGACATAAAACAAGTCATAAAATTGTCATTTGGACTTAAACCTGATATTTCTAAAGCTGTTGAATTCTAATTTGATCAAGAAAACTTATAAATTATCCTTAATTTTATCCTCCCAGATATTGTAGATTTGACTCCTCTATAATACCACAAGTACCTTTGAGACTGGTGTTTATTTTTTAGCCATTGATTGTAACGAATGATTGAGATTGTTACAACTCTTAAAAAAGTTCCAACTCAGAATTTTTCTCTTAAACAAATAACAGATATATCAATCCTTATCCAACGGAAAAAAAATAAGAAAATCTCAACTCTATGATCACGCATGTTAATTTCTATTCCATATTACCCTTGTCGTTTTTTTCAAAAAAATTCTTTGTACATTCGTCTATAGGAGAAAACAAAATTATATTGGTATCTAATTGCAATCCTAAATAGGCTGCTATGCATTTTTGCATTATCTTGGTGGTAGATAATGATAACGGCATCTAAGATGGGAATAACAATAAAAATGATTTGCAACCAATTACTACTTTTTAATTTTGGGATTGGGGAGACAGTAGTTTTTTTTTTTTTTTTGTAATTCTATTTTGAAAAAAAACTGAAATGGAATTGTTTAAGTGAACTTTATCATCAATCATTAAGAAATATGCACTTTATCCTCCCAAATACAAGCTGCATTTCTTATATCCAACAATTTAACGTTCTTATTTGTTTTTTTGTTTTTTAACTTTTTTAATCCTCCCTTTTCATTTTCCTTTTTAAACTCAAGAGAGAGTTATAGTGTTGCTGTGATTTAAATAATTAATCACTAAGAGAAAAAAAAGGTGTATAAAGGTTTTAAGTAATTATGTGTGTACATTGATTAAGTCACATGTATATATCATGGAAGTACTATATTTTTATGCTAGAAATTTTGTTTTAATTTGTTGACCTGTGTGGTAGCAACTGGCTGGTAGTGAATCAGAGGCTAATTAATAAAGAAGATAATGTCTTCCAAGTAAGAAAATATAGATAGCTCCTGCCTGCATACGCCTTTGAAAATGGGGCATTGACTGGGGTGTGAAAATGTTGAACCCAATTTCATATCATCTTTCTTAATCTATTATCAAATATATGATTCATTAAAAAAATTTCCAAGTTCTTTTATTAATTTTATCTTAAAATCTAACACTACGTAAACATTATTAATTATAAATAATCTAGATTAAACATGAATTAGAATTTAGATCTTCTCCGGTCAAATTCTACGGCCTCTTTTCAACAAAATTTTAATCATTAATTTTTGTTTTAAATAATTAGGATTAATAAAAGAGAGAAAGTAAATAAATATTAAACAAATACTATAAATAATTGAACTCAATTTGAATTATAGGTCAAGTCATTAAGTCTGTTTATATTATTTTTAATAAAATTAATATAATATTTAAATCAAATAAAAATAATTAAAAATGGTAATTAAGTTCATCGAATTTGAAAAAACACAACTTGATAACCAACTCTACTAATGACCGAGTTACATAATGTTCAGATGATTATTTGAAAAATAATCATTTATTTTTCAAATATTATCCTATAAAAGCTGTAAAAATAAGTATTTTTTTAAATAGGTTGAACAAAAAATACACCTAATTTTTTTAAAGGTGTGCTCAGTTTGGTCATGCACGTTGGGTATTAAAGCTATACTCGACTAGAACATGATTAATCCTATAATTAGTAAAATGTTTCATCCTTTTTATAAATTTATAATTGTTTTTCCTAGTTGTAAATCATATTTTATGTAGAAAACCTTGACTAAGAGTATGTAATAAGAAAAATTCCACACGTTAAAGTTAAATAAATATTATCTGAGTTATAATCTGATCTATGAAACACGCTCACTGTTATATATGTTAAATTTTTATCTCCTATATAAAGCAAGTTACCTACCTTTTAATTTATATATCTTATAAAAAATAAGATAATGTGAAGGCCAATATGGTGCTGTTTAAAATTTCTCTTCAATGGTTTTATAATTAAACTAAGAGGGAATTTATGTTAACTATATTTTTTCAACAAATAAAAATGATTGAATATATTATTGATGATAAGAAGGAAAAAGTAAATCAATACAGTGTAAAAATAGACAATAAAATTCACCCACCAATTTAAAACCAAATTTTTCTAATAAAATTTGCACAATAGAATTCTTATAAACCTTTTCTAAATAAATCAACAATTCTGATAATAATGTACTCAAATAAGCTTCTTATAATAATAGAATTTGTTGTGATAATATTATTTTATTAACAAAAAATGACTACTCTAACATTATCGAAGTTTTAATAAATATATAAATTACTGTCCAACCATTGTTAACACAAAGTCACTTTGGGAAGCAAAATGTGGATATGATGTTCTGTGAACATCTTGGAAAGAGGCAAAGACCAATCCGCGTTTAGACTCAAACTTCAAAAGCTGTCATTTTCTTCTGCCCCCGGAAACTTCCCTATTCCCTTCGTCGCTTTCCACTTCCAAGTTTCCAACGCAAATTGTCTTATTCTTATTTCTTTCTTTCCTATTTTCTATTTTCTTTTCTTTTTTATTTAAACTATATATATAAAAAAATACCTTTTTTAATCACAGGTAGAAACAATCTCTTTCAATTAAAATAAAATCACTGTCAACAATAATTTTACATAAGTTAATCTACATGTTTAGTAATATTTTATTTAAATAAAATAATTCATAATATAACGAAATTAACTTTAATGATGAAAATTTTTTTATTCATAAAAATTAAATTTAAACATTCTTTAAAAAAAATTTAGTTTTAATAAATTATTGATATAAATTTTTTATATTATTAATTAATTAAACTATTATTGCTATAATTTTCTTTTGTTAATACGATAATTCATAAATAAACTATAATGTAACATTTTTTACATTATTAATAAATTCTAATTAAATTCTAAAAAGACTAAATATAGTATTCAAATACTTGTAAAAAGAAATTATATAAATATAATTTCTAAATTTGTAAAGGAATCATCTTTTCGAAAACTATTATAATGCATTTTTTAAAAATAGTTAAATATAATTTAAAAAATTAATAATTGTATTCTAAAATGTATCCAGTATTTTAGATAATTTTTTTAATTTTATTTTTATAAAAGTGAAATTTCAATTTCCAACTAATAAAGCACTATAATGCAGCAAAATAAAAATAAAAATAAAGCACTATAACAAGTCCAAATATAGGAGAATAAGATATTAAATTTAAAAATTTTAATATCTGTTTATGTTTTGATTCATATTAAATAAATAAAATTTTATTTAAATTAATAAAAAATCATAAGGTATCAAATTTTAAGCTGACAATTTTTTTTGCAACAAAACAAAAACCCAATCTTGCAATACAATATGCACAAGTAAAACGGTTAGATTTTACATCAGAAAAATTATCCATAATATACTTATTATTACTCTTTTTATAATTAAATAAAATTTGTGTGTTATTTTTTTAACCTTATATTTATTTAATAATAACAAGTGTTTAAAACATTACATAAAAATATGTTGCTAGTAATTTTTATATAATTTTTTTTTACTAAAACTGGTATTTATTTTTCATAATTGTTCACAAACTTTTTAACAAGGTAAGTTCTTTAATAATTTATTTATTTATAGATAATGTCAATATTAACGTAACTTTATTAGGAGAGTATGACGTCAGAGATTCCTCGTTCCAGTGTGCGTGCCTTGTCTCGCTATATATGTTGTCTCTGCCACATGAACACGACCAACCCAGAAAGCAGACACGCTATAGTCAGCGCTATCTGCTTCCCCCTTTTCATTTCATCTCTTTCTTTTGATTCTGATTTTGAGAACACCAACATTAGTCCCTTCTCTGAAGATGGATTTGAAAAGCAAGGGAATTTCACTCACCACCCTTTTCTTCTTTCTTCTTCTTTCTGCTATTTTCCCATCCTCTTTCTCTGAAGCCGATCAGCTTCTCGACAGCAAGAAGAAGAAACCAACCCCTCCAATCGCTGCTTTATCCCCTGCTTCTTCTGTTGTTTTCCCTGTTCAAGGAAATGTATATCCGCTTGGGTAGGCTCTGTTATGTTATGCATCCTCTGACTTCTTCAACATTTTTTTTCTAAAAGAAATAATATTAACTCGCTGATTCTTTATTTTTCTCTAAATTTTATAGAGCTGTTGTTTATTCTTTATCTGGGCTTGGATGTTTTGGGTAGTTCTGAACTTGTGACTGTATTATGATTTCAGCGGTGCTAATTGTTTATAATGGTCTTTTTCTATCTCCTGCACTAAAAAAGTTTTTTTTTTTTTTCCTGATTTGAGTGCTGATCTTGCATACCCCTTTTGGTTCTCACCTTCTTTGGAAATTTCAGAACCCTCCTTGATTATATCGAGTTTATCTTATTCTTCGAGTGATCCTACCGATCAATTTCTGAATATATTTTTCTAGAGAAAGAAAATTCCACGAAATGTAGTTTGACTCTTTTTACTCTTTTTTGGATAGTTTTTTGCTTTGACCAATTTTGTTCATAGGAGATTATTATAATGATTGTTATGTTTTGTTATGTCTGTATGATGCAGGTATTACACGGTGAACCTCGCCATTGGCAATCCCTCCAAGCTTTATGATCTTGACATTGACTCTGGCAGTGATCTCACTTGGGTTCAATGTGATGCACCATGTACAGGTTGCACCAAGGTATGATTTATTTTAGGGTGTGTTTATTTTCATTATCAAGTGTCCATTATCACTTTTATTTTAACAGTAAAAATATTTTAGACAAGAGTTATATAAATAAGAATGTTAGTACAGGGGAGTGACAAAACACATTCCCTTTATTTTAAAACATTCAACTAAGTTTTTTAGTAAGTACTAGCGAGTCATTTATTATGCTGATCTTCGATTCTTTAACTTGTGTCTTTTCAGCCTCGCCAACAACTTTATAAACCAAATGGCAACCTTGTGCAATGTGCTGATCCCTTGTGTTCTGGAGTCCAGTCAGCACCAAACCATCATTGTACTGCCCCAAATGAACAGTGTGACTATGAAGTTGAGTATGCAGACACAGGATCATCTTTGGGTGTGTTAGTCCGAGATTATATTCCCCTTCGGCTCACTAACGGATCTTCTGTACGCCCAAGGATGGCCTTCGGGTGAGTGCTGTCTCTCCATTTATTGACATTGGTTGCATTTGCTAATTTGAATTTGGTCATTGATAATGATTAAATACTTCTAATTTAAATAGAGCAACGTAGGTTATCTTGTCTAAGGAAACACATTATAATGGCTTTTATTTAGAACTATAATTCCCTAGTCAAATTCCTAATTAGTAAGACTTGCTTTATGTGTTGCATGGTAGGTGTGGATATGATCAAACGCATTCTGGTCATAACCCACCACCTTCCACTGCAGGGGTTCTTGGCCTTGGCAATGGCAAGACAAGCATTTTGTCCCAGCTTCATTCTCTTGGTCTAATTCGCAATGTGGTGGGTCACTGCCTAAGTGGGAAAGGAGGGGGATTTTTATTCTTTGGAGACAAGCTCATTCCCTCATCTGGAGTTGTTTGGACACCCATATTGCAGAGTTCCTCAGTGTAAGTGTTTAAATAGATGTTTGTTTCCTCATGAGAACAACTTTGAGCAATCTTTAATCTTTGTTTCAGAAAACACTATAAATCAGGTCCAGCAGACTTGTTTTTCAATGGGAAGCCAACTTCTGTTAAGGGTCTTGAACTTACCTTTGATAGTGGCAGCTCCTACACATACCTCAATTCCCAAGCTTATAAAGCTTTTGTTGATTTGGTGAGATGCAACCTAAGGTGTCTTATTTGGCTTATATAATAATCATATGTCATCTTTAATTAATAACCATTGATCCATAATTCAGGTTACTAATGATTTAAAGGGAAAGCCGTTGAATAGAGCAACTGAGGATTCATCACTACCGATTTGTTGGAAGGGTGCAAAGCCTTTCAAACATCTACGTGATGTCACTAACTATTTTAAGCCCCTGCTACTTAGTTTCACAAAATCTAAGAATTCGCAGCTGAACCTACCACCAGAAGCTTATCTAATTGTCACTGTGAGCACCCTTTAAGACTATGAGTTACTTTTCTTTCTCTTTAAAACAAGGAACAAAAGAAATTGCGTCTATTGTCTAACATCATGTTTTTTTTTCCAGAAACATGGCAATGTCTGCTTGGGGATTCTAGATGGCACTGAAATAGGACTAGGAAGTATTAACATAATTGGAGGTGAGCGATTCATATACCAATAAAATAATAGAAAATGTTATTTTTCGGGCATTTTTATGTTGATTAATTTAATGTGACAACTTCTTTTGCTCTCAACAGATATCTCTTTACAAGATAAGATAGTAATTTATGACAACGAGAAACAGCAAATTGGATGGGCCTCTGCAACTTGTGATAGACTTCCCAAGTCATAACATATATCAATGTATTGTGGTCTTTTTCTTTTACTGTAACTGCCTATAGAGCTTTCTCACTAGGATACCTTTTTTTCGTGTTCATTAACAGTGTAAATCGTGGTTCTTAAATGCGGTGATATGGATAATGTAAAGACATTTTGGTGTTTAATTATAAAATTGCCCTGCATTTAATATAACACCTGATTTCTATACATAAAAAATACACGTAAGAAGTATAAACAGGAAAATCCAAACTTGGCGTGAAATCAATTTTCAATTTGATCGTTATACATGAAATTAATCTTGTCCAACTTGTGTGAACAACGACCTCCTTTCTTTATCTTGAAGATGGGGTCTACAAAGTGTAAATCTTCACTCTCTCTCACTCCTCTTCCCCCCTCAAGAATGTGGTGTAAGTGTTGAAATTTTAGGATTTAGGAACTGTTTTTAAGAATTAGTTTCATGGCAATTTAAGTTTTTTTTTTATAAAATTTCTGCTCACCAGGTGTATTGTGAGAAATTTTTGTATGATCTACAATCATGGTATTCCTGAACAATAATAACTTGACACAGACATTTTTTTTATACTTTTAAGAATGTGAGTAATTGAGACTACGTAGTTTTGGACCACACAATAATTTTTCATAGGACAAGGAACTTAAGATTCAAGATCAGACTAGACCACTTAATCCTAAAAGATTGAAAATTGAATAAATAATTTTTTTTTTACATTTTATACTGTGATTTAATTCAATTTTTGAAGTCAAATCAGATTACACTTATAATAATTTTATATTATTTTTATTGTATTTTTATATAAATTTTTTATTTAATTTTATAGTAACATTGTATAAATACATAATATATCAATTTTATTTAATTTAAATTTTCATTTTTCTCAATTGAATATTAATTTTTTTTATCAGTAATTCATTATTGTCTTTTATAAATTTATCTTTTTAGTTATGATTTTATTTATTTATTATTTTTCAACAAACTCATTTCTAATTTTAAACTACTATTTATTATAAATTTTAAATAATATAATAATAAATACTATTATAAAATAAAATAATTTAATAAAAATATAGAATATAAAACTGATATAAAAAACTGATATTTTACAGTTTAATTTTTAAATTATATTCAAATTGAATTAAATCAAACTATGTGCTATTTTTATGTGCGATTCGCGTTTTTATTTTTTATTTTTGAGTAAAATCGGACCATTTCGAACCGCAAACATAAAAATAGCATTTATTATATTCAAGTATCATGTTGAATTTCGCTTGCCACATAAGAGTGTCACTCACAATGTTATAAAATCCATTTAGGTTAAACTAAAATAAAAATAATTTTTTTGTATAAGAATGAATTTACAAAATTTTTTAATATAGGAACCAGATTTAAAATTCGTATTATATTTAGAGACTAAAATTGCATTTAAATATTTAATTTTTTAATTTAATTTGAGTTTCACTTTAATCTTTTGATTTTTTTAATTTAATTTAATCTTTTGAGTTATTTTTTAAAGTAAAATAATCTTTTAACTTTATTCCTTTCTTTAACTTGACCAAACATTTTAAAATAACAATGTTTTTTACAATATTTTTTATACATTTTATTATTAAATTATTATCCTAAACCTTTAAATTATCATTTAAATTTTTTTATTGTCTGCAAATAGTTTCTCTCAAACTATTTATGTTTAATTTTTTTAATTATAAAGAAACAATTATTATCATTATCAAAATTTATATAACTATATTTTTATTATAAATTTAGATTTACATTAAACACTAAAATGTCTTCGTAAATCAGTAAAATTTGAAAGATAAAAAAAGTAAAATAAAAAAAATTAACACAATTTTTCAATAATTAAATTAAAAAAATAAAACTTAAATTAAATTTAGAGGATTAAGTTAAATTAAAAAATTAGAATATTGAATCAAAATTTCAATTCATAGTGGAGGGTTTACTGTAACTTTGATTTTCATCCTCTTTAAAAGTAGGCTGACTCATTAATGTAAAAATTTATGACAATATGATCTTATTTTCTAATTTACTGTACAGAATTTCTTTAAATTATGAATGCATTGATTTCTAAATTAAACTACTCATTCCTTTTTAAATAATAGAAGGCGCCACGTTGTTATATATATATATTGCAATTGATTTCCAAGCCATCTTTAAGACAAAATTACCTTGTGAAGCAAATATCGAGATTTAGAATCAAATTCAACATCTTCGAAGGAGGTCAAGACCTACCCAAGAAACTACCAAATTCTCTATCACTTTCAACTTTTGCAACTTTCAAACCCAAAGTTATAAAGAGATCGTTTTTAAAAGGTTATAATATACTCTGATTATGATCATTCATTAATTAGTAATTACACTTAATAAGTTTTAACTATTTATCACCAAAATCAACCACCTCAGTTGAAAACAATAGAATATCGTAGCACCTTACTATATTGAAAAAGTCACCTCACGGGAACAAAATTCATACATCTAATCTTTGGCACTATTAAAAGTAGGAGCTAAATTCTTACTTTTCAAAAATTATATTTATTAACCTTTTAATATACATTAAATAAATAAATATAAGGAATAGTTACTATTTTTCTATTATTGAGAGTACATTAAATATTAAAAATATGATTACAAAATACATGAGAGTGTGTTCCTATTTTTTTTAATACAATATTGTTACTTAAATACTTTGTATCTACTTTTTATAATTATTCACTGATTTTAATAAGGCTTCTTTACTCAATTATCTTTATTTTTTTTATTTCTTAATTTTTGGAAGAAAATTTTACCTTTCCTTTATTTATTCATTTAAATGTATAAAGTAACATGAATTATTTTATTTTTAGCTATATCTATATTTTTGTCTAATTTTTAAATATTTTTATATTTTTCATATATAGTAAAAATTATAATAAATTTTATTAAAATTTTAATTTTTTAATATAAATAATGATATAATTATATTTATTGATTTATATAATATCTTTTAAAATGGCAGGTAAAAAGATAAAGACAAAATTTTATAACAGAAAGCAAATATCAAGCAGTATTTTAATGATACTGATTATAAAATTTAAAAATATTACAAATATTATTAATGCACACTTATTATAATTTTTAATATATTGTTAAAGCAATTTCTAATAATGATTTAATTTTTTATTTTAATTTAAAATTGATAAAAATGAGTTAGTTAGATTAAGCCAACTCATTTAAGTCTGTTAAATTAAAAGGTTTGGATTTTAAATTTTATGGCTAAATTAATTTTAATTTCTTTTACTTGATTCATTATAGTTTTTTCTTGATAAATTTGGACAAACCTAATCTATTTAAATATAAAATATAAGTTTAAGGTTGGATTTGAACTTATTTTTTTTATTGTTACTAATGGAACCTATATTTTAAGACTCAATAAGAAGTGATTTTTTTTTTCCACTCAACTTGATCTTGCCACCAAGTAACGACAAAGAAACAAATTCTTAAGAAAATATTTTGTAAACACTTGTGTAACTTATGATTTAAGGTGTTTATATCTTAAGTTAAAATACAATAAAGGAGAAAAAAATATAACAATAAGAAGTGTTAAAAGAAGTGTCGAAAGTATTAAAATATGTTTGTTTCTTTCTTTAACAATATATTTTTCTATTTTTTAAAAATAAAAAATAATATAAATGTATATTATATTTTATTTTTAAAAATAGAAAATTATTTTTAAAAGGGGAATAAATTTATAAATCAAAAGTTAGATGTATTAACTTGGTGACAGCATAACGTAAGTTTTGAGGATGTGGAGCTGTGGGCTCTCTCTCCCTATAAAACATGTTCACGAGCACTACCAACCCAATCGTCAAGTGAAAGTAGACAACACATTATAGCTAGCGTCCTCTATTTTGGTGTTCAAATTCCTTCCCCTTTCCCATACTATATTTTTCTTTTGATCACAATTCTTGATTCTGAGTTAGTGATAGCTACAACAATTCCTTTACTGAATATGGATGTAAAAAGCAGGTCAATTGCATTGACCATGGTCATGTTTTTTCTTCTCCTTTTTGCCATTTTCCCAACCTCTTTCTCACAACTCCATCATCTCCTCAACACCACCCAGAACCCCAACCCCGCAAGCCGTGTTCAGTCTTCTGCTGCTTACCTTATTCAAGGAAATGTGTATCCACTTGGGTATGTTATGTATCCTCTCACTTCTCTTTAATGTCAAATGCTAACTAGTATGCCAAAGAATCAAAGATATTTTGTTAAAAATTTAAGGTAAACAAAATTATTAATACATTTCTTTTCCTTATTTTATTTTTCTTTTAAAAATTCTATACTTAATTTTTCAACGTGTCTTGTGAGTATTGGATTACTGGTTAACAATATCCTTATTTCATTATTCTCTACAAAACTTTGGCTCGTGGGTTTGCGTAATATGTTGCTCGTAATTAATGTGCATTTTATGTACCTCCTTTTCAACTTTAATTGCAAGTTTCAAGTGTAATGATTCCTTGTGTTATATTGAATCTACATGTTCCTTTGGGTGTAGGTATTACACGGTGAACCTTGCCATTGGCAATCCCCCTAAGATTTATGATTTTGACATCGACTCTGGTAGTGATCTCACTTGGGTTCAGTGTGATGCACCATGTAAAGGTTGCACCAAGGTATGTTTTACTTTAAAACATTCTCTCAAGGGATTTTCTTTTTTAAGTTATGCTGATCTTTCGTTCCTTAACTGGCATGTCTCTTTAGCCACCCGAACAACTTTATAAACCTAAAGGCAACCTGGTGCCACATACGGATCCTTTGTGTGGTGCAATCCAATCACCACGAAATCATCCTTTTGCTTCCACAAATGAGCAATGTGACTATGAGATTGAGTATGCAGACCATGGATCGTCTCTGGGTGTATTATTCCGTGATTCTCTTCATATTGCCCTTCTATTTCCCCATGCCTCTTCAATTAGCCCCATGCTTGCCTTCGGGTGAGCTGTTCTCTTTCCGTCTTTATATAGTTAAATATTTTTAATAAATTTTATAAGATATAAGATTAATCAATTCAACTATTAAATTATTTTATAAATATAATTTTATACAATTTGAACATTTGTAAATATATTATCTGACGTAGAAATATTAACACTGGGTGGTAGGTGTGGCTATGATCAAACGTATTCTGGTGACAACCCTCCACCTTCGACTGCAGGGGTCCTTGGCCTCGGCAATGGCAGAGCAAGCATTTTGTCCCAGCTTCATTCTCTTGGCTTTATTCGCAATGTGGTAGGTCACTGCTTAAGTGGGAAAGGAGGAGGGTTCTTATTCTTTGGAGATAAGCCAATTCCCTCATCTGGAGTTGTTTGGACACCCATATTGCAGAGTTCCTCCGAGTAAGTATTAATATAGATGTTGTTTGTTTCCTTGTGATAACAATTTAGACACAATCTTGAATCTTCGTTTCAGAAAACACTACAAAACAGGTCCAGCAGACTTGTTCTTCAACGGGAAACCAACTTCTGTCAAGGGTCTTGAACTTACATTTGATAGTGGCAGCTCCTACACATACCTCAATTCCCAAGCTTATAAAGCTCTTCTTGATTTGGTGAGGTGGAACTTAATGTGTCTTGTTATTGTCCTGTTTGGCTTGTGATAATTAATGACCATTGATCCATGATTCAGGTAACTAATGATTTAAAGGGGAAGCCGTTGAATAAAGCAACTGAGGATCCATCACTTCCGAATTGTTGGAAGGGTGCAAAGCCTTTCAAATCTCTCGGTGATGCCACGAACTATTTTAAGCCCTTACTACTGAGCTTCACAAAATCTAAGAATTCGCAGCTGAACCTAACACCAGAAGCTTATCTAATTGTCACTGTGAGCACCCTTTAAGATTATGAAGCCAACTATAAAAATTGTGTGTCCATTGTCTAACATGCTGTCCTGTTCTAGAAATATGGCAATGTTTGCCTGGGGATTCTAAATGGCACTGAAATAGGACTAGGAAATATAAACATAATTGGAGGTGAGCAATGCCACATACCAACAAAATGTTACAAAATCATTTTTCTTTCTCTTTTTTATTTTGATAATATGATTGTAATACATTTTCTTTTGCTCTTAACAGACATCTCTTTACAAGATAAGATGGTGATTTATGACAATGAGAAACAGCAGATTGGATGGGCCGTTGCCAATTGTGATAATCTTCCCAATTCATAAATTAATGTATTATGATTGCCCATTGGGCTTTCTTCTAAGAAGAGAGTTGTGATGTTATACAATAACAAAGAGTTTATGCTTTTTCATCTTTGCATATATGGAAAAAAAGAATTGTACACACAAGAAGTTCTCAGCGAGTATTCATTGTTTTAAGGTGAGAAAGAAAAAGAATTATATACAAAACACAGCTTATTTTTTTTATATGGAAAAAAATGAAAAAAATATATCAAAATATGGTGTTTGAATTTTTTTTAATTGCTACTAGTAATTTTTTATTTTTAAAAAATTATTTTTTTAAATTACAAATGACTATTTTTAAAATTTAGTAAATTTTCATTATTGTATCAGTATTTACATAAAAAATTGTCAATTTTTAAATTTTATATTTCTGTATTTTTTTAAAATATCATATTTTTGTATATATATTTTTCAAATCTCATATTTAAAAAATTATTCCTATATAACTTCTCTCACTGTTGGTATATTCTTATTGGTAAATATTCTTTTAACTTTACTCTTAATGACTAGACATTTTAATTATTAAAAAATAAAATTTCTATATTATTAAAAATTATATCATCAATTTAATTAAAATATATATTATACATATAACTTTTAAATTAATTTTGTATAAATTAATAATTTTTGTTGAGTAAGAATTTATAAATAATTTGAAAATTATATTTATAATATATTTTGATTAATTGATATTATACACGCACATCAAAATTAAACTCATTCTTAGAAAAATTATTATAAATATATCATTACTCATTTCATTTTTAAAAAAAAGAGTAAAAACCGTACGAACCGTATTATTGCAAACTGTACGGGTGTGAATTCGCTACCATATGTGTTTGGCGCCACTGGGCATAAGTGTTGTGAGTTTTGGTCAGTGAATGCAAATTTCAGTTCTCAACAAACACTTGACTAGGAAATAGGTATAGCCTTGTGACCTAACAATGGCAGAGACCATCAATGCCATGGATATCGACAGCGACGACAACACTTTCTCTGCAAGCCTCGACAAGGCTAAAATTGTGATGGTGGGCAACCTTCCCGCCGGCAAGGCCATTCCGTGGGTCGAAAAATACCGCCCTCAGTCCCTCGACGACGTGGCTGCTCACCGTGACATCGTGGATACCAGTAAGACTCTCTCTCCTCCTTTCATATCTAGGGCTTATGATTTATGTTTCTTCTTGCTCACAGAAACAGTTCTTCAGAAGCTCTATACAACAATTTTCACGGTTATTTGATTGATGATAGTTTTCCACCTATCCTCGTCTTAGGGTTTTTGGTTTATGGTAGTGCTGGAATTGTAATAGTTGGACTGTAACAACTTGGTTAGGGAGGACCCACTCCTTTTATTTGTTTTGTTTTTAATTTGGTTTAGTTAAAATTAGAAAATGAAAAAGGACATGCAATTGCTTGTTGTGACTTCTATTTTGGATCAGTATCTATTTGCAATTTAAGTATCAATGGTGATTATTGTGTCTTCTTTGGTTTTAGATTGCTCATAATTCTTTGTTGGATAGTTGATAGGTTGACCACTGAGAACAGATTACCTCATCTTCTATTGTATGGTCCTCCTGGCACGGGCAAAACATCTACTATTCTTGCTGTGGCTCGCAAACTATATGGTTCACAGTACCGTAATATGATTTTGGAGCTCAATGCATCGGATGACCGAGGAATTGATGTTGTGAGACAGCAGATTCAAGATTTTGCCAGCACTCAGAGCTTATCATTTGGGTTGTCCTCTCAGCCTTTTGTTTCTCTACTTACAATTTCTGCTGTATAGTTGTGTTTACTGCTTTATGGCTGCAATAAAATGTTTTTTTGTGGTATTGGTTTATCTACAGTGTTCATCAACATAATCCACTACAATTGAGCCTGAAAGCTTAAGAAAGTTTTTTGTTGAATATGGCTGTAATAAGTTAAGTAACCGAGCATAGTTCTCCGTGTGTTTCCTTTTCAGTGTTGCACATTTTCAGGGTTTTGCACTAAATAGTGAATTTCTACTTCCTATACAAATACAAGTCCATTGACAGAATCAGAGGATCTAGTGATCTTTGTTTTTCTGGTCCTATATCTTTGCCCTTAAAATTTATTTCTCCAAAAATTGTAGTTTTAGTGGTAAAATGTTGCATCTGTCTCCACAACAATTGTCTGATTATTATAGTTTCTGATGTCCGAGATGTTCGTTTTCAAATATTGGAATAATTTAATGAAATAAGCATTATAGATTTTGACACATTCTTTAATACAATTTCCTAGCTGATTGCTGGATAATTTGGGCAGTAATATGTAAGCAGTTCCTCTGATGCAGATATCAACACATAAAATATTAAAAGTGATAAGAGGACATTTATATAACTCCTTTTGTTCTTTTTAATTTTCTGTTGTAATGGTTCTGATTTTTAAAGGCCTTGGTTATTTTGTTACATTGTATATAATTTTTTTTTAATTTGCTTGCATGTTCTGACGTGCATTTGATTTGAAAGTGACATGGATGAAAATGTAACCACTAACAAGAGTTGAACATTTCCTTTGGGGATTTTGTTGTTCTTGAAGTGTAGTGTAACTACCAGTTTTTCTTTAACTGACTGACTATCTAAAACTCTCTGTTTAGTGTTAAGTCCTCTGTAAAACTGGTCTTGTTAGATGAAGCAGATGCCATGACAAAGGATGCCCAATTTGCATTACGTAGAGGTATGCACTAATTTGTACACTCTGTCTAACTTATGCTTGCAGCTTCAATACAGTTTCTTGAGTTATAATACCCTTCATCTTCTTTTGGTGCAGTAATTGAGAAATATACAAAAAGCACTAGGTTTGCACTTATTTGTAATCATGTAAACAAGATTATTCCTGCACTGCAATCAAGATGCACTCGTTTTCGGTTTGCCCCTCTTGATACTGTCCATGTCACTGAAAGACTGAAACATGTTATTAAGGCTGAAGGGTATGCTTCTCATTGTCTATTATTTAGTCTGCATATGTTAGTTTGAATTAGATGATATCTTTTGCCATGATACTGTCTCATTATCTGGAATATTTTTTGTGAGAATTTCTTGTGTATTCTATTCCCTAAATGAGGGAATTGTGCATATTGCGTGCCAAAATGATAATAATGATAATGAAAATGAAGTAAATGAAGCTCTCATTGTTTATCTCAAGAATTTGAATTTATTCTGTTAATATTTTAACACATATCAGTAGTTATCTGCTGAAAGCTGGCAATTGGTCTTTTTCTGACAGTTGTCTCTTTAATGCAATGTGTATAAATAAGATTTCAAGTTCAAAGTAAAATTTTGCTTCTTTTTGGCTCTCAGTGCATTCAGAGGGCAACTAGGAGAGGGAAAATGCACCTCCTGTCTGTCTTTTGACTCCATCATTTTATCATATGCATCCATTTGCATTCAGCTCATCATAGAAGTTTATTATTAAGTGTCCTTATTTGATTATAGTAGTTATCCACTTATCCTACTCGAAAGAGTTTCTTCATTAAAGATTGCACCTTTCTTTTTTCTGTATTTTTTTGCAAAAGATCTGAATATTCAAAACAGAAAAAGATTATATTGCCTAATGCACAACATAGTAGAGCAATTTAGCTTGAACCTTCAAAACTGAAAAATGCTGTCTGTGTAAAAGAAAGTTGAATACGTCGAATTCATTTGTATAAATAGCAAGACCTGAGTTGCACATGTCTTTCTGTGTAACTGCATGTGCAGTTCAACAGCAAGTGTTCTAAATCTTTAATCATACCAATTCTTTTTAGTTGATTAGTGAGGTCAAATTGTTTAGTCATAAAACTGTATTCAGTATTTACATCAGGTTATGAGGCTATTGATTAGTCCTGTAGATTTCTAAACTGTATCATCAGGAAACCATTAACTCATACATGTAGTGAACTGGGTCTGATGGACCAGTTCACCCTAGCCTGCCATTGACCTGCATTTGGGCTGGCTAAACAGTTGGCTTGGCAAGTCAGGCCCATTTTGTGACCTACTACCCTTGCGACTGGATAATCACTCCAACATATATTTAAGAACAATTGTTTTGTTGTGATTCCATTTGGGCTTCATAACTTGCTATATAATGATTAACAATTTGTAATTTGACTAGGCTTGATGTTCAAGACAGTGGCTTAGCAGCTCTTGTTCGACTTAGCAATGGTGATATGAGGAAGGCTTTGAACATTCTTCAGGTAGTTTGTTGATAGCCTTCAGTTTTCTTATATCCATCATTAGCACATATAGTCCTTCAGTTTGTACCTCTTACACAGACTTGAATTTCATTTTGGAAACAAGTACTATACTTATCTGTATCTGCCCTCCTGCTGATTACATTGACACACACACCTATTCAGATGTGTGTAGAACCATACATTTATAAACATGAATGCTTACTTGTAATCAAACAATAAAATGTAGGGAACTTAAGGTCATGCATGAAGTATTGACATGGCAACTGTTAATGTTGGTTTTAAAAAATGTTTTCTATTTTCTTATTTATTTACAAAAATGTCACATTGTTTTCATTTTATTCTCTGTTTTTAAATATTTGAATTAGAAACAGTGAAAACAAAAATGAAGTTGTTTTCACTGTTTCCTATTCTAAATTTTGAAAATAAGAAACATAATGAAAACTAGGTGATATTTTTGTAATGAAAACAAAAAAGTAAAAGCAAAAAACATTTTCTCAAACCAAACAGCCTCTAAACTTCTTGAATAACTTTTGTTCATTCTTGCTTGAAAATTTGTAACTTTTAACAGCTAGCAATATACTATATCCTGGATACATGGTTAACTGAACTTGTTAATTGATAATTTTCCATAAATATGTACATCCAATGTGCTAATGCTTTGTGTAATGTTTTTCTTGTTTTTTTGGAAAATCATGCCTTTTCCCATTATAGCTGTGAAACTTTTTTGTATGTGATATTTAGGAATGTTTTTCCTTTTAACTTGTAATCTATAAAGAAAAGGAAGTAAAGTAGAATATAGGAGGGACTGAATGCATATATAGAAAACTTCTTTCTTAAGTAATCTTTCCATTTATTGTTGTCATTTTCTTTTTGAATCTAAATGCACAGTAACATGGTTGAAGTTTGATTTTGGCTCCCATGATTTTCTTTCACTCATCTTGTATTCACTTTCAACCTGGAAAAAGTGATGAATTATTATATCCTGTATTATTTTGTTTCCTTTGGATTGTAGTTGACATCTGTTGCTTTAATATTTGTGCAGTCAACACATATGGCTTCTCAGCAGATTACAGAAGAAGCTGTTTACCTGTGCACTGGCAATCCTTTGCCAAAAGACATTGAGCAAATATCTTACTGGCTTCTAAATGAACAGTTTGCAGATAGCTTTAAAAGTATTAATTAATTTATTTCCCTTTATAATGGTGTTCAATATTTATAAGCATTTATGATTTTTATTTTGAATTAATATCAAATAGGGATACATGAAATGAAGACCGGAAAAGGATTGGCCCTGGTAGATATTGTGAGAGAAGTGACAATGTGAGTCTTATGCAACATGCTGACCCTCCAACTTCCTGGCAACTTCATTCTTTTATCTTATTTTTACTTTTTTGTTACCACAGGTTTGTTTTTAAGATTAAGATGCCTCCAGCTGTTCGAGTACAGTTGATGAATGATTTGGCAGACATAGAGTATGTTTTCTGCTCTACTTTTTACATGTTATTCTCCTTCTGCCTTGCCTGATGAGCAGATGTGTTAGTTAGATCAACATTTTTCTAGAAGTTTAAATAGGCTTTTTGAGAGGCCTTTAAATAGGCTTTTTGGCCAAGCCACGCTTTTCTGTGGGTATTTTGCAGAAAATATTGAGTTTATTCAGGCAAAATCTGGCTTGGTCTAGCCTATTTTCAGCCCTAATCTTGTATTTGGTTGTGAGCAAGGACAGTAAATAATGGAAAAGGAGAAAAATAGGTTTTTTTGAACTCAACTTTGATAGGGGGGGAAAATTCTGTCTTTTCTTCCCCATATCTTTTGCTGTTATCAGATTCTTTCAGTAGTGAACATATAACATTAGTAGTTGTACCCTGTTGACTCTGTGTATGTATACATGTATCGTAAAATTAAAGAAAGTGAAAAGGGCTGCTCATATTTGTATCGCCTACACTATGATGCTGTAGTCATTTGCTACAACTTTTTTCCATCTAACATTTTGCGTTTCCATGGTTGGTAATTAATCCATACTGCTTTGTCACTTTCACGTTGCTAGGTCACATATTAGGTGGCAAAGATATATTATGGAATTCTAGTAATATATGAAAAGGAGTGCAGCAACAAATTCTTTCTAACACAATCTCTTATTGGCTGAAATTTAATGCATTGAATATAGAGATGTCCCCTTTTGTCCCTGCCCCTCTTTTGTCTGCAATTTCCTCTTTCTTTTCGGTGGTTGAGTGCAGATAGCCTGAAATTTGGAGGTTTGTTTATCTAATTAATCATTATGTATAAGAGATTCACATCATAGCATGACCTTGCAACAAAACAGGGAAGTATAATACGAAACTTTATAATCAATGAAGAATCTAAGGGAAACAATTTATATCATATCTTCTTTCCGCTTCAAATTAAATGTGCAGTTACGATAATGGGACTGAAATTTCATCTCATCCAGGTACAGGTTAAGTTTTGGGTGCAATGATAAGCTTCAGCTTGGATCGGTTATTGCTTCTTTTACACGTGCTAGATCTGCCCTGGTTGCAGCTGCTACATAACCTACTTATGAATCCGATTCACTGGGTGTCATTGCTATCACAACCACTTACCGTTAGGCTTGGCTTGTTTAATTTCCCCGGCAACGTTACTATTGAGAATGGAATTAGGAGGATCTCCTTGGTGTAAAGAAAGTAACTGTTTATCTACTTTTTCTTATTATTATTTAAGATTATTTTTTCGCTTTCAAGTATTTTCCCAAAATTCTGAAGTAGGAGTAGGACATGCTTTAAATTTCACTGCCTTCATATTTACTGCTGTTTAAGATGACACCGTTAGGTTTGAAAGTTAAGGTCAAATAGCTGTTATGACATAAAAAATGAGAAGTCTCGGATAATTGACAGTAGCTTAAATTTTGCTTTGAAAATGAGAGCCGTAAATGAAAGCATGTTCTTGACCCGAGTAGGAAGTGGCATTTTATTAATGTTTTCAATCTCTTGGCTTAGAAGTATAAAAAAGGCCACTTAGCAGTAGTGTATGTCCTATTTTCTTGCACATCTGTTTGGTGATGTTTTATCATGTCACGAGACCAGTTTCTACATAGAGCCAGAAAGCGCGTAGTAAACCGAAGCTGCGAAGCATGATCTTTCAATTTTAAACTAAACTCATTTAACTAAATAGCAAAATGAAGTCAAATTCTACATAATATCGTCTGATTTTACAGACTGATTTATACAATTTCCAAGTTCCACACATGTTAGGAAACCACGCGGAGGCTCCAGACTTCATTTTTTATTTAAACTACAGGAGTAACAGGAATCAATATCCTATTAATGCAAGAATTTTAAATATAAAATTAAAGATAACACAATTAAACACAATTATATATAATACACATCATAACAACTCAATACAATTCTAACTATATATAATTGAATAATTGCATTAAACGCCTACTTGATGAGAATTCACGAATCATAAGCAATCCTGATGAAAACCCATGAGTCATAAGCAATTCTTGTTTTGAGTGAGCGTGTACTATTCTCTTATCTTATTGCTATTATTCCAAACTAGTAACTGTCTAATGGAGCAACAGTTATATAAGCCTAATCAGATGAGAGCAAGAACCTCTCACTGGGCACATAAAATAGTCCAACTCATCATGTACTATTTATACTAAGAGCCCAATTACAAAATCTATATAATAATTATTATTATTATTATACATATTTATTTTACGTCATAATTAATAACAATATAACCATAATAATTTAATAATGCTAATCCATAAATTAATATAAATATTAATATTAATGTTAAAAAATCTAACAATTAAGACATTTAAAATTTAGTGTCATGAACTGATTATTTTTACATTTTCAAATTATCAATAAGGCTATTCTTTTACTAATAGTCATATTTTTCAAGGTGTAAAGATATGTCTCTCTTATTGGACATTTTTATATACAGCTAAAATTTGAACGGTGATCAACATGCTTAAAGAACTTAATTATTTGTTAATTGTGTTGTGTTAGACTTGGTTTGTATCAAAAGATTATCACTCGTTAGAAAATATTGTAAGATTATGACTAACTAGAAAAACTAAATTCAAGAACTCCACGCGAAAAGCAATTTAACACAAACAACCTTGTACTCCAAACGTTTAATAAATTGTGGATTATTGTGTTTGACGTATGTAGAAGAATAAGAAACAAGTGGATTCAATGTTTGTGTGCAATTCTTATTCTATGCTGCTCCATCTCAGTCATGTAAAATATTGTAAGCACTGGACCGGTAGTTAGTTATTTTCAAGTTATTAAAAATTTAATTAAACTCCAATTTATATAATTGTTGGATTAGAGTGAGAATAAGGATTAAATAATATAACGGCCTGTTTGTTATGCAACAATTTATAATTCTTAGGGGAACTGGACTTAAACTAAGCCACGGATTTGGTGAATCAACGAGTGGATTCTAAAAAGTACAATTTAGCAGACGTACAATTCGAGACGGTATATGACATGTACACAGATACAAAGATCGTTGTGCCTGATCCATTGTTAATGTTATAAGGACAAAGAAGGGTGTGACTAATTTGATTGAATATGGACTGTAATGGAGAAAAAGACATATGCTTACTAATTCAGTGGGAACACACAGTTTTGCACTGGAATCTTTTGACCCATAGGAATCTACCATGCTTCAAGTTGATTGGTTTTAGAGCAGGCATCTTTGTTCTTTGTGTTGCAATGAATTATTCTTTATTATATTACATAGATCAATATGCATATTTTAGACTTAAAATCCAATTCATCTTCAATACTTATTATTATTACTAATCAATCGGTCTCAGTCTACTGATCATCTTTTATCCATTTAATTCGGCTGAACAGATATTGGTGTATGGATTGCTTGCTTGTCCACCCCTTAACTTCAAGTTGTTTAATGGGTTGGTCAATTTCCACGTGTTCTGACGTTTAGTTTAGTTTGGTGAACGAGTATAAAATATAAGATTCCACACCATCGAGTATGTGGATGAACCAATAAAGGTAGTTTCAGCATTATCTGTAGTTTTAAGTTCAAGTATCAATAAATACAATTATGTTAAATAGTTAAATAAATAAATAACTTTGTGACTCCAGAGAACTGATGTTTACAAGAGTTTAAATGTTAAGTGAAATCTTAATATTAGTTTTACATATCTAACAACAGGGAGAAAATTATGACCTAAAATTTGATTCACAACCAATAAAGTGCTTTTATAATACCAGTAACTAGTCAGTCACACAGTACTTAGAAGATTAATTCAGTCAAATACACACGCAGAGACTTCCCAAGTGATTGAGATAGTTCACTTTTTTAATAATTTATAATGCAATAAAACAATGTAAAAAAACACACATGATTATAAATAATAATATTGGTCCGCTGAGAACTGCATAATTATTATTATTTTTGGTCAGACCTGCATTGTTTTTTTTTTTTTTTATTTCTTGGTCAAAGTGCATTGTTAATTCATATATTCCCTTCCCGATAATCGTAACCCGAATTGAGTGTTCGGCCCATTGTTTGTTCGTCTTTCAACTTCAATTCTAACAAATTGAAAACAATGGGCTTACAGAGCCCAATTTTCGTTAAACTCCCGGTTCATCCAACCATATATCTGTACATACACACACGTGACGTAAGCATCAGGCAAAGAGTTGACAAAAAAAAGTTTTATTAACTACTAAATTATAATTATTGACTGTCTTAATTATTTGAATCAAATGTTATAAAATTTTAATACTGCTACATAAATTTCAAAGTATATATAATATCTATTTAGATATAGTTCAATGACATTAAATTTTAAATTTATTTGAAATTTTATAGATATGATGTACGTGGTCAGTTTAATAATTAAAGTAATTGATCTAAGCATGACTCTAATTTATAAAATATGAGGAACATTTCGCCCTCATCAAAACAGACTCCTCCCGAACATGGGATTAACTCATTTGCTTTGAACAATTCGGATGAACTCTTAAAAGAGGTTTCTGGTTTTCTTTATAACTTGGGTCATAAGGAGTATTTTGGATCCCCCTTAATAAAATGCCTTATTTCGGTTCCAGAATAGGTAAAACTATTATACATTTAATCAAAGAATATTTAAATTATTCATCTTTGTCGTGTAGGACTATTTTATTTTTTCACAAATTCAATAACCTGAGCCGAGAGAAATTGCATTAGCTAATTTGAATAAAGAAAATAAAAACTAGTTATAACTATTAATTGCATTACAGAATAAACTAAAAATATAAAAACAGAAAGTAAACATGGTAGGATATCCCGATTCTGAGTATAAAAAGACCTAAAAAATAAGTAAAGAGAAAGACACACCTACTTAATGTAACACGTACTAATAATAATTCAACAAATATTAATTACAAGGTCCAAATTGACCTTCTATCACGTAACAACGTGTGTAGTGTACCTTATCTACAATCTACACTAGTTATACGGGACAAGACGTATATGCACCGTTGGATCGTCCTCATCATATAGCGACGAACAAAACAACCGGTGCACAATGGTGGACCCAACACATGCATTTCCCAGCTTCAATGTGTTTTTTTTTTTTTGAATTATTTTTGGTGTTCCCTTCCCTCTCCAGATTTTTCTTTGCCCTAGCTAAATTAATCAACAATCATCTATGCAGCGGCACAGGCGCATTCATAGACCTTCAGTCTCGTGCTACCGTGCGATGCAATCACGTGGCATTCCGGGCGTCGTAGAATTGCGCAATTCTCAATAGGGCTTGGTGTAGTACATGAACATGTCCTGTAACGGCGACATGTGATTCCCGAAGCCATTGTTGAGAGTGGCATCAACGTAATTATACGAAAATTCGAGGTTCTTCTCCCACTCGCTCCACTTGGGCTCGCTCTGCACCTCGCTCGCGAGCTCCGGCGAAACCACCTGCTCCGAACAGCTCGAGTCCGTGTGCAGCTTCGGAATTGAATCCGAAGGATCGAAGTACAAGTAATCCGTCATCGCCGCCGTGGCTTGCGGCGGAGGTGGCGGCGGGAAAGCGCCGCTACGCGTTAAAATCTCCGGCTTCTTATCTTCGATTTCCGAGGATTCTGTTTTCCGGCTAACAGCATCGTTGCTTGGCTGTTTCTCGATTGTGCCCTTCTTATTGTAAATACGGCAAAGCACCCAGTCATCCAGCTGCAGAATCACAACCGTTGGATTAATTTCAAATTATTTTTAAGAAAGAAAAGTAAAAACATCTACATAGTAAATATTTCCTAATCGGACGCGAGTCAATGAGATAAGGAGGAATAATTTCTATAAGTAGAAAGTGATAATTGTGATTGGCAATGATTTAATTATTTTCCAAAATCAATTATTGTTTGATTACGGTAGAAGCATCAGGGTTTTTATTTTTTTTGGATTTAAGGCGATGTTAAAATTTGGGGCCAGATAAATCAAGCACCGCATGTAGTGAAGGTTCTCCATACATTTTGCATGGTTTCCACCAAAATCCTTGATTAGTCCCGGGGTTAAAATCGTAACTAAAGAGAATATCCTAACCCTAATCTTGAACTAGAAAGGCAAGTAGGGTGCATATACCCTTAGGCTGTTCTTTTTGCGAACGGAACGATCTACATCGGCGAGACGATACTCGTGCATGATCCAATTCGTTTTGTCCCCTTTCGGAGCTTTCCCTGAGTAAAACACCAAAGCCTTTTTTATCCCAACCGGTTTCGGGTTACCAATGGGTTTATCCGCACCGGTTGCCTTCCAGTAACCGGTTCCTGCCGCACGGTTCGGCCTCGAACCGTTCGGGTATTTCCGGTCCCGGGGTGAGAAGAAGTACCATTCCTTCTCTCCGTAGGTAGCTAATCCTGTAAGATGAAACGTAAAAAAGTCAAATTAATAGATAAATAAGAATTAATGGTTATTAAACAAACAACAGAAGTAGAAGAAGAAGAAGAAGAATGATACCTGGTAGGTCCCAAGGATCGTACTTGTAGAGGTCGATTTCGGCGATGATGGGAACGGCGATGGGTTGCGACGCGCATTTGCGGCAGAGGTAGTGCATCACGAGTTCCTCGTCCGTCGGATGGAATCTGAATCCCGGTGGCAATTGAAGCTCCGATGCCATCTTTCTAAGATAAGATTTCTACTGTTACTACAATGGAGATGGGGATCTCTATCTCTGGTTTATCCAACACAAGGAACAACTATGGTGGCGGCGCTTGAAACTTAGAACATAAGGGAGAGACCCCAATTTATAGGCAACAAAAGCGACACGTGGCAGGACCAGCCAGCAGTTTCTAGAATACACGTGGGCGCTAACGTTTTGGTAGTGCTCATCAGCGTGGAGGGTGCAAAATAAAATGTTTTTCTCTTTTATTTTTTGTCTTTGGTTGTACCTATGAGTGAATTTGATTTATCAAGATAAGAGCGACGATTAGGTACAAAAGAAATTTTGAGACAATTTTCGAATTAGATTTTTTTTTTCTTTTGTGATATTGGGTAAGTTAACGGGGAAAGAAAAAATTGGGGCTTCATTTTCAAATTAATTTAAAATTCTGATTCTTTTTACATTTCCTTTAAAATGTGTGCTGTTCTTTTTTTACACTTTTTGTAAGGTCTAAATCAAGGGCAGGTATAATAAAAAAGAAAAGAGGTGGGTGATAGGGAATCGGACACGTGTCGAATTTTCAACTGTGGTGCGCGCGTGTCGGGAGCCCACACGAGGTGATTTTGTCACTGCTTACGACACCGGTTTTGGAGCGAGGTGTGAGCAAGTCGGTTGGGGCCCACTAGTGTCCATGGTGTTGGCATGGAATCGGCGCGTTGATTTGACTTTTGTTGCAGAAATTCAACAGTGGATGGAGCGTACACGTGGCTCAGATTTATGCACTCGCGTTGGATAACCACCTCGCGTGATTTATGATTTGCAGGCTTGTACCTTTCCTTCCACGACACAGGCCCCACCTCACCGCGTAATCTCTTCCGCCTCCACCATATCCTTTTTTTTTCCCCTTATCGTTTTAGTTTTACCCCATCATCCAAAGTGAAAACATTTTCTAATCAATGATATCATTTTTAAACATTTAGGGAAACTATTTGCCACAAAATGGTAACATTGTTATTAATACTGGGCAGTAAGTTATTTGATTTTTGAAATTGGAATTACTCCACATTAATCGAAATCCTATAATTTACTATCTTTTGCTTTTTACTGTGTAGTGGGGATTATTTTCTACTCGGCGATAATGGTGAGCATTAAATGGCAGTAAAGGATGCGAGTTTGAAGTTTGAACATTGAATTTAGAATATTGATTACACGTGTGGTTAGATTAGACAACGGCATACGAAGTTACCAAGCAAGTACCCGAGTCCAAGTCTTGTTTATTCATTTTCCTGCGCTTGTTTTAATTTTGTTACATTGTTAAACATATAATAGCTTTGTGACCAAAAAGACAAAAAAGGAGATAAGCATGTGGAGGGGCCTTAGGTGGATGTATCTGAGATCTGATCTAATGCCGCTTCACTTTCGGTGTTCGGTGCTCTGCTTTGTTCACTTGCGCCTTCGTTCTCGCTAGCTGCACCCTTCCTTTCTTTCTGCTCAATTGGCCAGGGTCCACCCTCCGGGATCGCTCATCAACCCCTTTACAATCATGGGAAACAACACCATTCAAACTCTTTTTTTAAAATTTTCTTAATCCGGTTTCAAACTTCAATAATAAATTATCAAATGTAAAAATACTCACATATGTTTTTAAAAATACTATACCAAAGACCAATAATTTTTTAAAATTCTTATAAAAAAAATACGAGGACAACCACATAAAATAAAAATAGTTACACAAGCGTGTTCATTATTTTCTTAATTTAATTTTTTTGAAAACTTATGTTACCTAACATTAAAATATTTCAAATAATACAAAATGATAAAACTTAGATGATGAACGCCATGGTTGTCTTTATATTTAATATAATGCAAAATCCTTCAAAATCAATTGAGCTATTTTAATTTAATTCAATCAAACAGAAACTATTCGATCGAAGACCAAATTTCAATTTTAAAATAATATCTTAATCGTCTTACAGTACTACAAATAAATACTATTTTTATTCGTGTTTAGATGTAGGTCATATTTTGAAGAGTTGAAATTTGGTTTATGAATAGTTAAAAAAAATTATAGTTTAATTTTACTATTTTCTATGCAAATATTTAAGATAACATAACTAATGTGATATTTTATAATTAACACTGAAAACATATAAAATGCGAAACATTGCTGATAAATATACTTTTGTTTCTAATAATATAATTAGATTTTTATTAACCGCTTTTTTTTTTTTTCCAAAACTGAATCTTATTATTTATACAAATTTCATTCCTGATGTAGTTTATTCATAAGTATTATTTCATTTAACTATTTTAGTTTATCCAAATATAGTTTCTTTTTTAAGAGTCGCGTAAAAGTATTCAATAGAAAAAAGGGATGTTAACATAAACATTACATATGAATTAAAAAATAAAGATTAAATAACAACCTTTTAAACATAGAAAAAAACATTGCTTTAGTCAATTTTTATTGTAATTATAGATTTTTATTTATTATATTGTTTAAAGATGATATTCGATATATTTCTATCATAATTTTGTCAATATATTTTAACACATTTTTAACAAAACCTTTTATAATTCATTAGTTACCTTTAAAAATTGGTTATAAGAACCTATTAAATAACCCAAAGGCTTTTAGCACTGCAATAAAGTGAATCGGGGGTTCTCAATGCTTTTATGGAACATTCCTTGCCTTTATAATCCTATCTAGCAGTGAATTAATACACTATTTGTTATGTTTATGGGCCACGCATTAACTAGAGAAACATTTTCAAATGATATATAAGCCATTTCAATTTTTTTCAATGAACAGGTAATACAAAATTGGATACAGATATTAACACATGATTTGTTCCTTAGACGAATTTCTAGGCCGACATGATTTTGCTATTGGATTTCGATCGTAACCTAATCCTAGACAACACCCTCTTTTTCCTTTTTTGGGGCATTCTGACGTAATATGGGAATAATATTGTACAATTTTAATAAAAATTAAAAATGCTGTTATATAGTTATATAAATTATTAGATTTAAAAGTATTATTAAAATATAGTTTAAATTTGTTTATAGTATTGTTTTACGAATATATTAATATGCCTTTTCACAAATATCTAACATGACATTATAATTTGGTGGTGGTAAGTGCACAGAGAAGATGTGGTTGAAAGAAGTTATTATTTTATAGTATTTGATAATATTTTGAGAAATTAATCTCTCATGCATAAGGTGAAAGTGATTTTTAAACTTTGTTTGATAATATTATTTATGGAGATTTTAACCTTAAACTCTGTTGGTGCGAAAATAATATAAGACTAATACTGTAAAGACTTTTAAACTCTAATCCAAATGTTGCATTTCTCATACAGGTAGTTTTTATGGCAATGTAAAAAAAAATGTATAAATTAAATTAACTTAAGAGCATAATTACTAAAAATAGTTAATATTATTTTAAATTTTTAAATAAATAAATAATATTTTTCTTTAAAAGTGGATAAATAGAAAATCATATATATACACACACGCTGTACAATAATATCTTTTGTTTTTCCAGGATTTATGATCATTTGGAGCAGTAGCTGACATTGCGATGACGTTTTGGGTCAAATACATTGAAACGGTTGGTAATCGGTTTGGGCCCACTTGACTTACCCAGTATGCGGTTATTTTTGACCCAAAATAATGCAACTATTAAAAATATAAACAAAAAAATAATAATTCAGTAATTAGAAAATTATGTCGACGGAAAAATCACAGCATGTACAGCATCTCTCAGTTGACCAAAAATAAAATAAAAAAAAGCCTCTCAAAACTCTTTTTTTTTATTATTCTTTTTTTACTCTCCATCGTGGATTCTCTTTAGAGTAAGAGAGGCTTACCTGCATGTATAATTTCTGCTGTCAAACTGTTACATTTTGAGTTATATTTTGATTTTTTTATTCTTTTTAGGTAAATCATTTAAAAAAATATATTAAGTATTCAATTTTTTTTCTTGTTCAATCACAATCTTTAATAAATTATATTTAATTATTTTACACTCTTTAAAACGCTTTCAACCATAGTGACTGTACTAATATTATATTTACATAAATATTAATTATGGTTATACTGATATTATCACATTTTTCCATATTTTTAACAAGAGTAGTTTTTTATGGTAATCAGAGTAATTTTGAAACATTTAAATAATTTCTGAAAAAAATTAAGATTATCAATTTTTAAAAAATTCTGTAAATTAATATAAAATATTATTTACTGACGATTTAAACTGAATTAGCCTTCATTAGTGTATATTTTTAATTTGTATCAATAATATAATATATCATACTAACAAATAATTTTAATGATATATAATACATAAATATTATTATACCTTATTATTTTCTAGTATAGATAAGGATGAGAAGTCAGCGTTAGGATGATTAAGATATACCCACTGAATTCATGGCCTAAACATTTTGTAGCTATTAATTCACTAGACATTAAACAATGCAACGAGGAACAACATATTTTAAGTTACAATATAAAATTATTTTGTATTGATATTATATGAAAATTAAATTAAAAATTACAATAATAAACTCAACAACAAACATTAATTGTGATAATAATGATAACTTAAAAAATTCTTTTAATATTAAACTATTTAATTATTTGGTTTAAAACTAAAAACGTGATATCCAAGGAATAACTGAATAAGTCATCATTAGCAAACGAACAGATTCATGACAATGACACAATTAGTGGAGAACATCTTTAACCACACTCTGTTCTAAAGGTAAACCTTGTAATTAGCTTTGCTATTATTTATGTGTTCTGTTAATATCACTCATTAAAACATTTAAATATAATGATTTTTTATTTATTACATTAGAATTATAAAAGGGTAATAAATATTTTTTAACAAAATATTACTAGTTTTAATTGCTTAAAAATTTAATATTTTTCCTTATTTATTATTGTATCATTATTTAACCAAAGCTCAGCATTATTTGAGGCATGGAAAGGCAACAGAATTCGGCTCAACCAAGCACGCTAAATCGTGGGTTGGCTTGACCTTTCAAACTACAAGTCCTGATTTTCTTTTCCGGATTTTTTTTATTAATTAAAAAAAATAAATTTAAGTGCAATACTTACATGCTTTTAATTATATCATTTGATTAAAATTAGAGTGATTTTATCTTATAATTTTTACCCTAACAATTTGCATTGGAGGTCAACGTAGATCATTAAACTAAAATTATAATATTGATTTAAGAATAACTTCAGAAAAACTTTGTACTTCAAGTAAACTTTGTCCTTTCTTAAAGTAATCTTGATAATATTATATAAGTATGATGAGACTTTTAGTCTTTATATTTTAATTTATGTGTAGTTTTATTTTTAATCATTCAAATTAATTTTTTAAATCAAAATTTCAGTCAATGATAAAAATAGAGTAGAAGGGTAACATATTACCGATTTATATAAATTAACAAAAAATATAAAAATTAAACAGAAATTAAAAAATTACAATAATTAAATAAAAGCAGTTAAAGAAAAAAAGAACTCAAGTTACACATAAACTATGTGTGTGTGTATAATTCTTACAATGAAATAAGACCCGAGACCTTACTAACACTGATCAATGAATTAATACAGTATTTTATTAGAAAATGGTAAAATACATTAAACATTATAATAAAATATTAACAAAATTCTATTTACTTTTAAGATTTTAACGAGTGCTTGAACGACATTGCTTGACAATTATCGAAGACAGAAAAGGAGACAGATGACAGTTGTAAAACAGCAACAGCTATGGTCTACATGAATTGAACACGTTTTGGTTTTGTTTTCTACGATCCCATATTTAATGAGAAACTTGTTGAAAAAGAGAGTCACGCGAGGGGCGGCAATATTCGGACTTATATGCCTTTTGAAGATGCTAGCCGCCATTAAACCCTCAGTTCCTCATTCTATTCCACCCTTTTAGTTCATCAATTTTCATTCGTCACTATCACATAACTTAGATCCAATCTCCATTGTAATACACCAACAAAATTATTGTCTTATGTAAGGTGTGAACAATTTAAATTCAATTTAATTTAATCTACTTTTTAATAACTTATTAATATTATGTATGCTTTACAGTGGTACCGGCTCTTTAATTAACTCAAAATTTCAGCCGTCTATTTGGATGCATGCATGCTTAACTTTATGCCTTAAGTTTTTCATATTTAATCTGTTTTTGTCGTCTTGTGATTAGAAATTTAGAACTTCTTACACTGATAAAGTAAAATGCTTCCACTTATTCCACCCATGGATAATTTTGTTAATTGATTGTTTATTATGATTTCCCCATTAAGGTAACCTATGAAGCGACTTTAGCGGTTGATGTTCTTTAATTTGCAACTATGTTATGCGATCAAGAGATGAAGTTTCCAGCATTCTGACCTTATTTTATTTGTTGGTTTGTTCCTTTCTATCTTCAGTTGTGATTTTTTTTCATCATTATCTCGTGTCCTTACACATTTGAAGTTCATTTTCATTGTTGTGCGACTAAGCTATCACCTAGCAATAGCATGCGCTGAAAAAATAGAGTGTTTTATGTATGTAGCCTTTTGCAAGTTGCAGCCTGACAGACTCCAAAGGAACAGTGAGAACCTGCCCTCCTTCATGTTCCATCAAACATACAAATTACAAAATAATGGGAAAGCATTATGTGTTTCAGACAATTTTTTGGAATTTATTGATCATAGTATCTTGGTAGTAGATTGAGATGCTGTTTCGAATCTCTTAGATTGTTGGTTCCAGAATAGAACAGATTACGAATTGATTTGTTATTTTTATTGTCAAGAAGAAATTTATATTATATTTGAACTTAAAGCAATGCTGATTTTTTTGTTTTTTGTTTTTTTTGTTAACCCTGAAATGGTGGCGTCACAAGAAAACTCCAAACAAAATGAAAGAAAATGGCGTAACAAATAATTAAAAAATAAAGGGTCTTGTTAATCAATATCGTAAGATACAAGTTAGCATTTTGTCAAAAACAACAACTTATATGGTAAATAATATAAGAAATAAAAGATTAAATTATCAGATAAAAAAAATTATTAAGTATATTATATTTTCTATAAATATAAATTTTATTTTAAAAATATTTATAATATTAAATGATGTAATTAGTAATTTGTATATTTAATGATATTAATAAAAAAAATATAAATTTTTTTAACAATTAATACATCTTGAATCTATCATTTATTTTTTATAATAAGGACTAAAAAAATATTTTATTTTATTTATTATAAAAAAGACCGCAAGAGTATAATAACCTTTTTTAAAAAGTTTAAAAGAAAATAATTATTTGTTACAAATAATCAGTTCCGAAACATGCATTTAATACTTTTCTTTCAATTTAGAGAATATTGTTTGCATGAATTTACAATTGGGAACATATCTTTACTACCAAATACTAATAAGCATTCCAATATCACGCATATTAATTTTACGTGGAAATACAAGGAATTTAATTTTCTGTGATATTGTTTGTAATGATCTAAAGCTTCTATGCTTTATTTATTTTCTCAACTTTAGTTTCATGCAAACTACATATTACAGTAATTTGTATATACACATCAATTTTGCAATCCAAACTAAATAATCAAGGATTGGTATTGGGAGTTGAAACTTCATTGCTACAAATTGGACAAACCTTCTTAATCTGAAGCCACTTGCTTATGCAATCTGCATGATAAGGGTGCTCACACTGAAGTGCCACCAAGGCTTCACCTTCTTCATATTCAACCTGACAAATCACACAGCGATCAATGCCAGTTTTGCTTTCAGGAGAATGGCAATTATAAGGGTATAAGCACAAAGAGATTTCATTTGCTGATAATCCTCTTGTCTCTTCTCCTATAAACTCTCCCAACTCAATCAACTCTTCATAAGATAATTCATCTGGATCAATGTCATCTTCTTCCAATTCCATTTCATCATCATCATCATTGCTTCCTTCACTTTCATGGAACTGAAGGTCGGCTTCAAACTCTTGGCTCTCTATAAAATCAGGGTCTCCATCATCATTGTCAAAAGAGGAGTCCCTTACATCTTCATCACTTTCACTTTCAATAGTTGCTAGCATTGTGAATGCTCTCTCTTGTTCTTGCAAGCCAATTGCTAGAATAAAATCGAAGTTGACTTCCTCAAGTTCAATGTATGGGTTCTTGTGGGAAGATTGTTTCCCCTCCTCACGTTCCATTGAGGGAGGAAAAGATGTTCTAACACAGTTCGTGGATTGAGAAAAGAACAAAGGATTGAGGTATTTGAGGGGATGAATATGGCAACACAATTTTTTAGATATCTTTGGGGATCAACAAACTTCAATGTCAAGTAATGGAAACCCTTCGTTATAGATTCCTCTCATTTCAGATTCTTATCTATTCCAAGGTTGTATCCCACCGTGGCATTACCTATAGCAATCATAAACTTTGGACTTCCATTTTGGATAAGGTAACGTTTGTGCAAAGCAATAGCAAAACATTCTCCATAAGTTGCAAAATACCTTGTTCCTGAAAAGAAGCTATCAACTACCATTCTCAGCTCTTAACCTTGATTTATTTATTAATGATTTGCGGAGCCTTTATCAGTAATTTCATGAGAGGGGTGAAAACAGCAAAAGAAAACTTCAGTAGAAGTGTTTTTTATGTGCAGTGGCCAAAGTCATTTTCTTTACTTCATGCCTTTTTTCCCTGTTATCAAAGGAAATCAAATATATATGTTTTTCTCTTTCATCCTAACAAATCACAAACATGCATTGATAAAAAGTGGTTCCTATATGTACCCTCTACTAAAATATTCTACAATCTTTGCCTTGGAAGAACTCTTTTCCTTTTATTTATACCTTTTCTGGCAAACTTAGATGTACGAGTTACCTTAATGTCATGGACTGTGTCTATGTGATTGCCATGTTTAATGGGCTTGCTTGTGTAACTGGGATCTCCATTACTATGATTGCTTCTAATTCTATAACTAAAATCTCTACTAATTTCAACTCGAGCACGATCTTTCCTAGGCCGTAAAGACTTCCTTAAGTGGGAGCATTTATAGTCTCTCCTTCTTCGCGAAATTGATCTACCTATTTTTGCAGATGTTGGAAAATGGTATGAAAGACTTCGATCAGTGTAATCTTCTCCAGTTGTAGAGTAGAACATTTGATTCCTAACCATTCTGACCCTTTTTTGTCTCCTTTTGAATTTGTGTAGCTTAACACACAAGAAAGTGCAAGAGTACTCCCAAATGTGGAAACAAGAAGAGAAACATGCCCATATCATTTTGCAAGAAGAACGGCAAAGACATCCAAATATGCCTAATTTATGCAGCAGATAGAAGAACAACAGAACTGCAAGGAAATCATGCATACCCACTTTCAGATATGACAAATTAGATAGGGCTAGTGGGTTCATGTTATGTACTAAACAAGACCATGTTGCAATCTGAATTTAGACAAGTTGATCCAAGAAAATGGAGTGATACTATATGTAGTGATCAAATAACAGAACAGTTGAACTCACCAATGTACAGCAGCATAAATACCAAGGCCAGCTTCAGGAGATTGGCAACACAAAAATTTTCTATATAACAAATGAGATCCCACGTTGGTCCACATACTGAGCTGAAACATATAAAAAAAAAATACAGATTAAAAGCATGAAGTGGAAAAGTGAAGAAAAAATATCGTTAAGCACAAGGAGCACAACTACTCTAGAAGCTCCTTCTGAATTTGTTCATAGAGCTTGTTCGTTTTACATCAGGAAGCAAATCCTCGCAAATACATTCTAATGTAAAATTTGTGGTTGAGATTAATTTGGACAAAATCTCAGTTTGTTTAATGGTTCAAAATCAATTATACTCAACTTTGAAACAAATGGACAAATTGTAAGTTGTATAAGGTTGAGGTTCTAATAGTTCTGTAAAATGTAAATAGCAATGTTCAACCATAACATTACATAATTTCTAAATTCTAGAAGACTATATTATATAATAATATGGAGAATCCTAATGAGAGTATTGATAACCCTTCATACTCTTACCTGCAAGATTTTCCTGAAAGAAATTCAATTGGAGAATTAAAAAGTTTGCCAACAGCATTTCCGAAGCCCGAAGCAAACGATTCAATGACGTTGCCCATAAATTCAAGAATCACAAAGCTGCAGGGGATATCAGAAAACAAGTATTATTAACCCCTTTCCCATAAATTTTGAGAGTTTATGTTTCAATGCAATGCATTCAGAAAGCTATCTTCTAATTTTATTTTAAAACTGATGTCAAATTACTTGCAGGACCATTCGGGTCCCTGGCCTATTGAAGAAAGAAAAATGGAGAAAATGCTAATTACCTTCAGCCTACTTAATTATTCTATTAAGTTTTCTTTATCAAAATTTAATAAAAAAAAGTGATTAAATGCCTTTTGTTTGACCTTCTCCATAATGAATAGAGCGTCATAATAACCTATGATGTTATCAGTTTCCAAATTTCTAACTTTGACAATATATTTGCATGGTTAAGACATCTTTACGTTTCAGATTAAAAGTCATGCAAACACGTATGGGGTTAGTAAATGGTGCAGGTGCCTCCTTTCTTGCAAGTAGATTTAACATGAATGAAGCAAAGGACAAGATATTAAGAATTAAAAGAAATAAAAAAAATTACCTGTACGCGAATGAACTAAATTAACCAAATAATGGTAGAAGAAACGAATGTCAAAGGAAAATAAAAAGTGGGGTGGGCTGCTATAGGTGAGCACCGATTCCAAAAATGAAAACGATGCATTATTTCTACTACTTTTCTCTAGGTTGAATTTATTCTAATGGCATTTCAGCATTTGTTTGTCTCTCTTTCTTTATTAGTTGATGTTGCAGCCAGCGGTGGCGTGTTTACAGAAGCGAGAAGTTAACGAAGCAATCGTAACTGCTATGTGTAATGATAATTTAAGAAAAAAACTGCCCAGTGAACAGCCGGGTCCATTAAGCACAAATTGAACCTTTGCTATAATATGAAGCCCAAATCTGTTCGATCTCTGAGAAAGCCCGTATATTTTGAAATAATTGTGGTGAGATTCATCCAATTTATCAACCTTTATTTGTATTATTCAGATTTCAGATAATTCTGGGAAAAATGGAAAAACTTGTTTCTATTTTCTCGATTTCATAATCGAGCGTTTTTAGTCACAAAAAGATAAAAAAAAAATTTTAATGTTTTGCCTAATAGGAAGAAAGCATATCAATAAAACATTATCTGTTCTTTTCAAAATTATAAAACTGTTTCTCAATGTTCAAATAAGCATATCTTTTTCAGTTTTTATACAAAGCCACATTAAAAAAAAAAGGTAGATTAAGGATACATATAATATTATCAATACTTTTGCATTCGTTTAATTTTTAAAATAGTTCTAACCATGAATTATGTGTAAAAGTTTACAATTTTTATATGTAAAATTATATATTAGTCTTTTATGAAAGAGACAACAGAATAGTCTGTAAATTTTCAAGTTACAGTGAAATTTTTTGTACATCTAATTGTTTTGAATAACTTATAAATAACTTAATTACATTTTCAGTCCCTATACTTTATCGTATGAGCACTTTTTATCTTCCTAATTTTAATTGCTTAATTTAATTCTTCTAAATTTTTAAATGTTCAAATTAAGTTTCACCTCCCAAAATTTTATCAAATAATTAATAAAACTATAATAAAGGTTTGGCATTTTATTGATTCATACTAATAAGTAAAGACAAAATATCAAAATAAAATGCATAAAACATAATAAAAAAAATTAATTTAGGAGCAAATGAATATTTGAAAAACAAAAAGGACTATAAGTGAACAACTAAAATTAAAAAATTTAAAACCGCACATATATTAAAAGTATAATTAAACCTATAATAAATTATTCATTGGTACGTTGTTTTGCTTATAGTATCGATCCAAGTACAGGTCATAAATGGATTTTAGATTTATTCTTCATACTTAGGTGATGATATGCAATGGGTCATCACTGCAGAAGGTTTATTGTTTGGTTAAATCCAGTATGAATTTAGAAAACATGTAAAATCCCCTTTGTTTTCGTTACATGTTAAAACTACACTCGTGTCCCCATCTCTCAATCTCTACTCCCTTCTCTTGGACTAAAAAGAAGAACAATGTAAGGAGATTCGGGTTGACATGCAAATTCAGTCAACCAAGCTTGACCAGATCACGTTTTCCTTTCTCTTCCCTGTTTAGGTTTAGGACTTCCACATTGGCTTGAATTGGAAATCACTAAACCAATTATCACCGGATCAGAAAACTTGAAAATCAATGAACCTAACCAATCCTGACACGCTTATCTGTTAACATAAATGGTCGGACTAGTAAAAACGGTTCACTTAGGCTATGAGATCAAAGGGTAAATCTACCCACCCTCCTTACTTAGCCTCGAGTAAATTTATAAAAGGGATGCTTAACGTTGAACTAATCATTCTCATAGTTAAAGTTAATAAAGCAATAATAAAGGAAATTTGTCTTGTTAATCGAGGAAAGGAAATAGTGGGAAGTCGTCTCCTGTTGGCTGATATAAGAGGTCAAGCTAAGATGAGACAGATCATATTAGCAAGTCACACTGAAATTGAATTTACAGCCATGCTCGGTCTAGACGATACAATAGGCCTTCCTGACCAAGATCCAATGTAAATTGTAAATTGTGCAACGGGTTCCACACAAATAGTCTGGTTCGTTCTTATACCAACTCTCCATCGCTTCTCCTTTCCTCCTAATTCTTAAATACGCCTTTAAATTTTCCAACATTTATAACCTAATTCACCCGACAAGACTGCCTCGAGAATAATTATTTTCACTGACATCTTAACATTATACTAAAACCGTTCGAAAATACTTTTCAAGGTGTATTTAATTAACAACCACAATAGCAAGGTACCCATCTCTGCACAACTGATGATAAATGATCTGTCATTTAGTTCCAAACTAGGATGACAAAATGATAAGAAATGGGTGACTTGGTTGGCTTAAAAGTTAGTCCATTCTTCCCTTCAATATCCTCTCCTTTACTTCGCCTGGTGTGCTGCAGCAGATAAAAGAGAAGATTAATAAGCCATTATAATAACATGTTATGAACAAGGATATAAAACAAGTTGGAACTTCCAATAAGCTTAAACAACTATGTGTGATGCAAATGTCCTAGTTTGAGGAGAAAACAATTAAGAAAAGAAATAGTAGAATAAGAAAGAAAACTAAACAAAAATGGTGAAAAACAGTAAAAATACTACAAGTTTCTTTCAAAGTGAGCAGTCAGGTTCATAAGAAATGAAACAACCCCCTCCCAAAGCTGCTCTTATTCATCAGTATTCTGTATATTGTCAGCATTGCTAATTTGTCATGTCATCCATAAGGTGCATCAATGCAATAAACAGGCTACAGCTTCAAACTTTGACCCTCATTTTTACCAAAACTAAATTGTCAGCTGTCTAGTATATCATAACTAGGAAATTTTGACTCGAAGAAATTTATAGAGCAACATGTACCAAAAGCTGCACCTTTAGAGGTAGGTCAGGATGTTTTTATTAGCCAAAATTTTCTCTAGAATATGGCAACAGTGTCATCAACTAGTAGTGCACGGCACAGGTGTAAGTACATAAAATATGAATGCTTCCTGCCTGGCTCCCAAATTGGTAAAAGCAGTATGCCAAAAACTTATGGTCAACAACAATGAGAAATGGAGAATTCATAAACTTACACAACATAAACATGTCCACCCCAGCCACTTAAACAATCACGATCTACAGACGACAGCAGGGCTTGGGAGATTGTCTCAAACAATTCCTCGGGTTCCTGAGTCATAATAAAAAACCAAGGGAACATGAATAAGCTTCTCTTTGAAGATCATGAAGAAACTGAATTTTAAAATTCTTTGCAAGTTTCAATAATACATCGCAAGTATGATAATGTGAGAGAACTTGGGAACTCAACTGCAAAATTGAGCCTATATTAGTTTCAATTCCGGTACTACCACAGAACATCTTATTCCATACAACAATTTTGTCCCTACATAATGTTCCTTTTTGTAATTTTTACAATTCTCATGAACTGACATTTAACATCAAGTACTCATGTAGATGCAAGAACAAGTTTTATTATGTATGTATACAACCACACACCTACCTCCACTGTCATATTAAAAAACTGAAAATATAATGACTTGCAGTTGCTATTGTGTTGCTTGATTCAAGGATTACAGGTCTTTGCTGTAAATGCAAAATTTATATATCATTTTTTACATAACATTTAAAAGACTTGTATTGGAGTTTGCTAGTTGCTAGTGTTCCAAATGCAAGTCTTACATTACACTCCAATCATAGTAGTCAATACTCAATAGCGGCCGCTATGGCCACAATCAAGGAGGAGCAGAGTGGAGTGGCCATCATGCCACTAATAGCAGCCAAATCGCGGGAGAATTGCAGCCATAGTGGCTGCTATTTCATCCCTAGCCAAAACCTGACTTTGCCATTGCTTTCTTAACATTGGACATCTTTAAAAACAGATAATCTCGAGATTTTGCCCCTTTTTACATTTCTGACATCTTCTTCACGAGCCCTAAGTTTTCATTTTCATCTCTCAGTTCTCTGGTTCGTTCTTTCCCATATTCATTCTTTGCAATATTCTCTTGCTTCAGGTGTCCTTCTTCATCTCCAGCGAGACTTCTAACGTGACAAAGTCGTCCTCCGGTTATCTTCTTTGTCTCCGGCAAAGCTTCCAATATAACTTAGACGTGTTTCGGTCGTCCCATCTCCAGTTGTCTTCTTCAACTCCGACGAAACTTCCAATGTAATCTAGGCATTTCCGATCATTTTCTTCATCTCTGATAAAACATCCGACGAACCTACACATTTTCTAGTGACTGATCAATTCTCTGTTTTCTTATTTTCTTATCTGTTTTTTATCTCCATCTCTGTTTTTCATTTCTCTCTGTTTTGGATATATTTTTATATTAGGTATAATACTCAGAACTTCAAAATAACAGTCATCCCGCTATTCAATATGCCGCTATAGCGTTTTTCGGGTTGGCCGCTCCGTGCCGCTATCCGAGATTGACTACTATGACTCCAATACATTAAACCTACTTCAAGTTTGAGCCAGCAACTGAGAGTCACTAGTACCAAGTTTTAAAACTCTATGATTCAATATCCTGTGATCCTGCACATGGATGATATTCCGAAAATATGCAAGGAACTATTAACACTAAGGTTTGCTAGCTTCTGAACATGTCCATTTGCAGATGTCTATTTTGCAATTTGGTAGTAAAAATTGGCAACACAAGCAAAAAATAGACAGGACTGCAGGAATTTGCAAATTCTCAAGATAAAAGTGACATTAAAGACAACAGATCAAATTTTGAGACAAACCATGTCAGGCTTAAACATCGACTCACAAGCACCATAAAGAGACTCAGATGCAGTGCCAGCCACAACAAAATCTTTGGCAAGTTCCCTGCCATACAAAAAAAAGTCAAAAGGTATTAATAATTTAATATCACGAAAATAAGGCTCAGATGAAAAATAATTTAAGATTATTCTAATAATTAAAGGGCAGAAGTTGCATAATATGCAATTTAAAAAAAAAAAAACCTTCAAAATTAATAAATAAAGGAAATTGAGTGCAGTGTCAATTAAAGGATATAAAATAATTTACTTATTGGCTCACTGTCAAAGATATATGCATAAACCTTAATCTATCAGAGTTTAGCAACCTTTTGGGGGGAAGTTTAAAAGGAAATCAAATATTCAATGCCCCTAGTATTTTGTTGTAGAAAGTAACATCAGACTGTGATAGTTATGTCTCGTCACGTTGTTTCACTCAATAGCAATTATTAGGCCATAGAAACTTTAAAAGAGGAAAAATTTCTAAAACTACCCTGAAGTCTGATTCTAGAGTAGCAGAAATAGGTAGAACTAAATTAGTTTGGCAAAATTGTTCACATTTGCAGATGTTGGTAGTCACCAACCTCCAGACAAAAGCATGATAATATGTGAAATCTACTATAGAATTATGAACCAGAAGAAATGTAGGGTTATGCTTATGCATATCACTAAAACACTAACCTTCTTTGACAGCATATATGAACACAGATTATATAATAGTTCACTTACTTTGCTCCAATTGAATCCATTGTGCATATGAATGGTTTGTCTTTGTCTCCTAATCCAGCAATTACTGGCTGGCAAAAGTATGGACCAAACCTGAAAAGCAAAAAATTATATATTTTGTTTTTACAGTTTCAGAGTATCGAGCAGCTAACTAGTGGAAAGAAAAATTCTGCAATGATCAAGTGAGATGATAACTTCCACACTCGTAAAATAGAATTATGCATATCATAAAATATATGCACAACTATTTCATAAACTCACATCACCCTTGGTTTCTCCACTTCAATGATATAAGCCTCTTTCTTTTTCTGTAGTGAGTTTATTAATACTGTTATTTAAAATAAGGATAACTGGATGTTCATCCTGATTTTGAACTTCAAGTCCAATAACACACTCTGCACCTTACGAAGAAAAAGAACAGAAATCTAGACCATATGGCAATGCACAAAACTTGAGAACTTCTATACAATGTTTTTTACTAGGTTACAACAGTTTTAAGTTCAGAAATGACAAGCATCTTCACTTCTTCACGTTCAGTCAGGAAACATTCAGAGTCAATATGAATCTACATCTAGGGATATAACTACCAGTCAAACACTAAAAGTAGCAGATTCAGTCATGAAACATTTCATCTTTAAAGTTGTAACTTCCAATGTGGCAACAGGAGACAAACGGAGGTAGCATATGGCTTTGCCATGTCTATTGTTTCTTAATCTCTGATTCATAACACCACCATTATAACATATATTTTTGCTACTGTCACAAGTGAAATCATTCATCTATACTATATGTCAAAAATGAAAAAACCACATTACCCGCCTAAAGAAAAATTACCTATAAATGATACATTCAGAACACACTGATAACCTATATATGATTTTCATTCATATCAGTCAATTGAATATTACTTCGACTAAGATAACTCCCTCCCTCTCCCTCCAACCATCACTTTCAATCAATACGTTTCATTGTCCACCTTTGCTTTTCTCTCAACAATATGCATCCAGACTCCTCAGTGTCCAAAACACATTTCATTCTATAAAACCCTATCAATCTTCAATAAATAATTTGATAAGTCCGTTAACAATCAAATAATTAAAACTAGTCCAATCCATCAAATCTACTAATATAATCGGATGAATTGAATTTTGATTTTGATGAATGCTGATAGATTAATGGATCTAAATGACAAAATTGCAATTGTCATCTGAACAGACATACCTTTTCTCATAGAGAAGCGCAGAGACAAGGTTAGCGAAGGTTTCGGGCTTCATATCCCTCTCTTCACGGAGCTGATACAATTTGTGGCGGAAAACGAGGCGTTGGTAGAGAGTCTGAGCATCGGTGGCAAGGCCAGAGAGACCGATGAAAAGCTTGTCGTGGATCTTGGAAATTCTCTGGAAATCGGTGGCGATGGTTTGAAGCTGAACACCAAGTCTCCGATCACTGGCAATGGCGAAGCAGTTCTTGCCGACCATAGCCACAAGGGCACTCCCGTTGTACTCGAATATCGACATTCTTGACCACACTATGGATCGATCAATTTGGTCGTGAAATGTGTAGTAGCGTTTGGAAGCAAACCCTAACGCGATAGTAAAGTTTATATAATTAAGTTTGAACTTTGTGTGCTACTTCGTTTCTTTCTTCCCAAGCCACTAAGTAATGAGGAAGCCAACTTTTAGCGAGGGGGTTGACGTGCTTTGATTATATGGCAAGTCAAATAGGAAAAAACTAGGGATGTGAGCGAGGTCATTTTTTTTATAGGAAAAAAAAACACCAAAATACAGTGTTTTGAAAAAAAAATTATAAAAAAATGTTTTTTTTTATAAAATTACTGACAATATTTTATTTAAAAAAATTTTAATTATTTTTTTTAAAATTCATTACTAAAGATTTTTGAATTTTTATAAATTTTTAATAATTTTTAAAAATTATCAATGATAATTCTCAAAATTTAATAACTATTTATTATTCTGATAGTATTTATATCAAAAATTGTCAATGATAATTTTTAAATATTATATTTTCTTAATTATTTTAAAAATATTATATATATATATATATATATTTAAAATTTTATATTAAAAAATTATTCTTGTGAGAGATTATGGTACAAGCACTATTCCATAAATACGATATAAATTAAATATAAAAAATTTTGATCCATTTAAATTATTAGGTTTGATTTATTTAAATAATAATATATTAAATATAATTGACTTAGATAATAAAATATACAAATTTAATTACTTAATCTAATCAATTTATAATTTAATATTTAAATTATTTTTTAATACTCACTTACATGTCATAATAATAAATTTTGAAAATATGATATAAGTTTTTTAATTTAACATTTAGTCTTGAATTTAAATCTTAATAAATGTAATTGTATATATAAAACTTTTTTTATAATCTTATTCAGCTTGGACATAATTATTTTTAGTAAAAAAATATATATTTAAAACAAAAAAATCGACAAACACATAAAATTATATAAATAAATAACTTTTATTTTTTAAAATAATAATTTTAATCTACTCAAATCAAACCAATTCAACTATAACCTAAATAATTTGGTTAGAGTAATTTATCAAAATTACATTAAAATTTAAATAAATCAAACCAAAAGTTTTGTATTGATTTGGACATAATTTTTATCTAAATTAAAACTAACTTGATCCAAATACTATCGTAGAAAAAATAAACAAAATGAGAAAAAATATATTTAATTGTATTTTTATTTTTATATTTTAGTTTACTTGTAATTTTAGTTTTTTTTGTTTCTATTTTTATAATTAATTTTTAATTGTTAAATTGATTTTTTTACTTTTAAATTTTATAAAGAACTAATATTAGTATTCTGACATTTTAAATAACACAATTCTATGAATCAAATGTTTGTATTGTCATATTAGTAATAAGTGAATAGGAGAAAATTATAAATTTTATTTGATTAAAAGATTTTAAAATTATAAGTAGAAGATAAGAATGAAAATTATCCACCTTCAAATTCTTTTGAATTTTTAACGCGACACTGAAATTAGAAACAAAAATAGATTTAATTTTTGTTTTGCTGGACATTAATATGAAGTTAAGTGCATATTATGAATCATTTGTTTTTTTGTAAGGGTGGATAAATGTAATATGTTCCGTTAATTAATCGTTTTATACTGATTATATACACAAATAAATTTATAAATTAGACTTTTAACACTTAAAGCTTTTCCCAGTATTTCAAAAATGAGCTTGATGGAATTGGACATGTTTCTATTCAATGGCATTCTATATTTCAACGTCTAAAAACAAAAAAGGAAAAAAATACATACAATTATCTTCCTTTATTTTTTGGTCCAAACAAGTTATTCTAAACAATCAGATTATTTCTACCAAACAAAAAGGAAGTCTGAATTGACCAATCGGGAATTCTTAATTATCATTGACTCAGATGGAATGTCATACAACAAACGCCAATGTTACAGGGTAAGGTTAAGCCACTACTTGAGTTGGCAAAAGTGGAGAAAAAATGGACTTGATCCTGTACACAGAAATAATAAAAGCCAAGTGTACAGTTGGTGCTACTTTACAAAGGGGCTTGAATGATAAGAGACAACCTTTGATCAAATTTTGCAGTTTCCTACCCAGCGCGTTGTAGGAATGCTTTGGAAGAATTAATGTAAGGACAACCTGTCGCAACGAGGTCACCACGACCCTTTTATTGAAAGGGTGGCTAAGGGGCTTGAGATACAAGTTGGTTCCAGAATGCATGATTGACTCTAAAGATAAAAAGCACCAAAATATTTATTTAATTTTATTTGCTGAAGGGTAGTTTCCTAGCTCCTCGCTCCAAGGCATCTCTCCATAGTCTATACCTAACCCCAAGCTTGTCATATGATACCGGGAAATTCCATACATTTGCACCGTTGTTCATCCGCTCTTGCTGGCCTACCACTAGCCGTAGATCCTCATTTAAAACCTTTAATAAGTTCACATCCACAAACAAAATAAAAATGTTAAAAAGTAGGATCAGGTAATATTTTCAGAGTCATTCATATTGATTATACATATTAATACAACAAAAGCTGAAGAACACTTTTGTTTCACTGGAATAAAATAGTTCTCTACTTAATCATGCCGAAACATATTAAGGTTTAGGGCTTTGGCCTACTTTGAATTAGCTTTTAACTTATGAGAGCTTTTTGTTCTACTATTAAGACTTTTCTAAGGAGACTCTTAACCAAGTTTTGTTAAGCACTAGTTAGATAAAGGATTTTTCTTTTTTTTTTTTAAATTGAAGTGCATAAGTTAATTTTAACTCTAAGTAGATTTATTATTCCAACTTCTTTCATTTTAGTCTCTTCTCGAAACAGTATTTGTTAAGTTTTTCAAATTAGTTCTTAGTGTGTTGCCAGTTTTGTTAAAAACACAATAACACAATTTTCATAACATCAGTTAAAATAAAGAGTCATAACTTTTTTATTCCTGTATGTTTCCCCATATCTCAAACTTAATAAAGTTGCATATTGATTCAGTAAACATTCTACCTGTTCTGCAAAATGTCTCCATAGATGTTGCATAAAAGGAATATGCTTAAGCACAGGAGCGAAATCCAGTGACATTCTGTATAGCAATCTTGTTTTATGTTTTGAAGATGGTAAGCAGACATGAAGTTGGTGCAGGTGTGTGGCGCACTGATTGGTGCTTTGTCCTTCCAGTTTACCAGGCTTCGAAATTCCAATGGTTGATAGAACCATGCAAGGTGGCCGAAACTCCATATCAATTGGATAGGGGTCCCAATATCCTTGTAGGCCAGATGCAGGTGTCAAAAATTTTACCAAGCTGCAAGTTCAAATTCAGCAACGAGACTAATTGATCAAGTGCGTTTTAGAAGATAAAACTTAAATTTATACCATAAAAAAAAAACAATGGGACATATCCATCCTTTCGTGCACAATTACAAGTATGAATGTATGACACACTGACTACATCATGTTATTAGAGATCCATGAGCCTAGAAAGCATGGCACACCAATTTTGTGTGTTCCCTTGTTTGAGAAGTGTTTTTTTCTAGAAAGTAAAATTTCAAAGAAAAAAATCCCAATCAGATTATTTGAGGAAAGGGAATGGTGAAGAAAGGTTACATTCCCAAGGTATTCTGATTACTTCCTCACTTGCAATATGATTTTTGCTTTAAATCTCTTTTGAGTGACAAATGGTTTTCAGTTTCTAGGGTACAAGCAATATAACAAGCCAAATGGCTTTCAGGTTTCAAGGCGTAAACGGAAACAAACCTGGGAACACTCCAACCCTTAGCAAAAGTTGAAGTGTGAGTAAAAGGGGCATGTGCAAGATCCAAAAGGTTATCCAAAAGTAACCCATGTTCCACTGGAAGCTCCATGACAATCTGCGGCATAAAAAGATAGCCCAAGAAAATACAGATTTTTCTATTAATCATAATTGTAATCCTTGAATATTCAACTGCTATATCTAATGGCACAAATTTTTTCATAACATACCTCAGCATGGATTTCAAATCCAGATGGAGGTAGCAAAGATGGAAGGGTGGCTGTTGGGGGCTCACTGCCAGGCCAAATCCAGATCATCCCCTCTTTTTCAAAACATGGCAATGACTTTATCTTCACATTTATCAGTCGAGTAGATGGCATTTTCTCACATTTTCCATCAGTAGTATATTCCCACCCTAACATCCAACCATTAGATATTTTTAACCTGTAAGTTTTAATGCTTATAACTCATTGCTAGGATATATCCTCATATATGTATATATTTTGATGTATGTATGTATATATGTAACACATTCTAGGATATAATCATGTTTTGAAAACATAAATTTCCTGAAGATCAGTATCAAGTGACATAGTTCACGGACTACTAACCATGGTAAGGGCATTGGATGCGACCCTCGTTTACAGAACCAAGGTGCAGAGGACATGCTCTGTGTGCACAGGTATTCTGAACACATCCAGGCTTCCCATCTTTCCCTCTAAAGATAACCCATGGCTCCTCAAAACAATCTATTGGGATCTGAAAAAGAAAAGGAATAACATGCTTATGAGAATTTCATCCAGATTGGTTGAAGTAACGTGTATCAAACCATGACTTTCAACAGGCTGTGTCTTATTTGACATGGCACCCCATCATCCCAAGAAATGGATCAATGAAGGAAAATAAAAAAGAAAAGAAAGAAAGAAGAAACTAAAAAATTTTGAAATATTCCACTGTCATATCATATGCTTCCAATCCAATAGATTTGCATAGACTGAAGCAGATTACACAAATATATGTAGTGTATGATATAAAGAATAAAGTATGTTGACTTACCATTGTATCATCCTTCAAGTCAGTAGAGAAAGCTACAGGATACCAGAAATTCTTCAAGTGGGGATGGTATGACTGAACTGGACCTGATACTTCCAAGCTTTTTCTCGGTCTTCTCTTTTCTATATCTACAGATTTAAAAGAAGTACTGGGGGAAGAGGATGCCTGGGAAACTTCAGTTGTGCTATCTTGCAACAGCCTATCATTTACCAATTCTTCCATGTAAGCTAGTTTATCTAAAGCAGTGGACACCCTTGCCTCAGATATATGAACCTGTTGTTGTTCAGTAAGTAGCATAAATTCAGTTATAGACTAATAACTCATGAACAAGTTCCTGCCAAGCTGAATGAATCTAAGAAATCTCCGCTTCATGTTGAGCTGATTAGTCCTCACTCAATAGCTAATGATAGTTACCTGTTGGTGTGCTTGCGCTAATTCTTCCTGCAACTCTGCTAGCTCCTTTTTCATGGTGCCAATGGACTTATAATCACGTGCCAAAGGATTAAGAACTTCCACCACCTACATCCATAATTTTTGGAGGTATAAATATACCATGTAGTGTAATGTGTGGCTGAAGTGAAAAGCTGAGGGTCGAACGAGAATATACTATGGTAAAACTAAAATTTCAACATGATCCAATGGCCAAGTTTGTAAATATTACAAATTCATATAGACTAAAGCAGACAACATGATAGAACTCACTGAAGGATCAAATATGATCCTAATAAAATATATAGTATAACCGAATTGAGTTCAAACTCAAACCTTTTCATGGAGAAGCATGATGGTAAGCAAGTCTTGCCGAGCTCGCCAATCACAGTATTGGATATCGTATCTTGCCACTTCTAAGGCTTGATATATATCCAAAAACTTTCCTTTATACTGTGGGACTTTAGATCTTGGATCCTCTACGTCAAACAGCGCACTCCATGCATTCTTCTTATCTATCTCCTCTCCATACACAGCAAACACTCTAAATCGACCTTTCAAACCCTGAAATTTGTGATACCCACAACAATGTTATCTACACACTTTTAATTACTCCTTATGGAGCAGAAAATATAGCCTGTAATGGAAAAAATTATGAGACTATAGTGCTATTTTAGTTGACGTCAATTGCCAAGCATTATGCTAAAAAAAGATAAACTAACTATACTTTAAAAATATAAAAAGAAAGGGCATAAAAACAAATAACAGGAACAAACAATTCTTAAACCATAAAAAGAAATTCGTGTGAATTGTCCTAAGCTTCACCTTTCTGGCGTCAAGCTTGGATGATTTACAGAACGAGAATGGGAGAGAGAGAACTGCAGCAGTAGCTATGGCGTTCATGGCGGTGAGAAGCTGACAGTCTCTGGAGAGAGAAAGAGAGAGAAACGCGGGCAACGTTGTTTTGAGGATTTTTGTTGATAAGAGGTTGGCGTTCCGCGCGATCTCGCTTCGCCTTCCGAGGGACGCCACGTGGAAGAGCGTGGATTCTGCGGTCTCACACGTGGCAGCTGTTCTCTCCACATGCTTCTTTTGAATTCACATGGTGCTTTGAGTTTTTGGGCCCCCAACACCTCGCCAAGTCGGATAGGGGAAGGTGATCTCTTATCTATCCTCTTCCAAGTTCCATATCGTCTTCTTTTCTGACTTTTATTTTTTTGAAAGATATTGTTTTTCCTTTATTAATTAAAATTATTAAAAAGTTGAAAAAAAAATAATTAATATTACATATGTTATATTGTCTATACATTATTCTCATAAGACGAAGAATATTCTCTTCATATATGCTCTATGTGTGGTTAAATTTATCTCTGAATAACTTACAATCTGTTTGTATCACTGTTGATAACAGAGTTTTGGTACTTTCATAAAATTTTGCTATGCTAACATTATTTTATCCATCGAAAAACATGAGAATTATGTGTTAACTAATAACCAAATAAGTTATTGTTCTTATTCAAAGATGAAAGGATTCGTGAATATAATATAAATTTTATAAATATTATAAGAGTTTGATTAATTAATATATAAGAAACAATAAACGATGGTTTATATTAAAAACTATAAAAATTACTATATTCTTTAATAAAAATATATTTTTATTTCTCTATTAGTGTTTTAAGGACATTGTTTAGCATTTTTCATGTTTTAATATGATACATGAAATAACAAAACACGGGTTGCATATAATTAACAATTATATTTTAGATAATTTTGTTAACTATAACTTTTAGAATTAAATTTAAATAATTAATAATGGTAAAATTTTCTTTAAAATATTTATTATTTTACTAAAATATAATAAATATTTGTAATAAAAATATTATTACTAATTACTTAAAGACAGTCTTAAAAAACAAAATTAATAATTTTTCATATTCAATAATAGAAATTATAACAATAACAATAAAACCTTATTTCATTAAATGAAGCGACTGATATTTAATAACAAAAATTAATAACTACAAAATTTATACAAATGCAAGTATTTAAATATTTTTAATTTTATAATTATTGTTTAAAATATTTTTATTACAATAAAGGATTACTTTTTTATGACTAGGATGATTTATATATTATTAAAGAAATCCTATTAAAAATAAGGATAATTTAACTTGTCTAACTATTTTCTTGAGCACATAATTAACTGTTAATAAAGTAAATCAAAACTTTGAATATTTCTTTTTGAGTCAATAGTAAAAGCTGAGTAGTAGTAATGGGCCTATGTGAATCTTCATTGACCTTGTATTGGGCCTATGCGCCAGCCATTAGATATTAATAAGGATTTGTGAAAAGCCTTTGAGGAAAATCAGACACAGCCAATGTAACCTGTACGTGGGAGAGACGATATCTTGGCTTCTTAAATGACTTTATAAATCTATGGTTCGGTCAATCCATCTTCTCAAACTTGCAGTGTCAAAAGCCTGAAACGTGCAACTGCAATTACAAGATTAATCAGGAGTATGAGCTCAACTGCAATTTTTATACCCTAAACTTGAGAAAGGGAAAAAAAAAAAAAAGGATGAGTAAGAACAATTAAGGGTATGACAATTTTCCAAGAATAAGTTATTAAACAATAAGTTGATCAGGGTCACTCATCCCAAGTTCAAGGTCACTCTTCTTGGCCATTGTTTTCTTTTTAATTAATGAATCAATGGTTTGTAAATGCTGTTCTACAAAATGAAACTCGTATTAGTATCTTTAAAATACTTTAATTAAGCAAAGAGAAAATAATGTTCTTTAGTTTTTATTGAATCAATTAAGTTATATTTTTAGAGTTTAGAGTATTAACTCATACACTAAAGGAACAATTTTAAAGGACCAATTAACTAATTCATATATTTTAGTACTTTGAAAAAAATATTTTTTAAATTAAAAAAAATATTCTCACACCGGTGTAAATTTAAAGATTTTTACATTCGATTTAAGTTTTTTTATTTAATTTATATTTAACGGCTAATGAAGTAATAAATCATAACTTATTAGATATAAGTTAAATAAAAAATTTAAATTAAGTATAAATTTTTTTAAACTTACATTAGTGTAAAAAAATTATTTTTCTTAGAATTATTAATTTTTTTGTTATAATTAATTTTTTCTTTAAACTAATTAACTTGTATTTGAATTATTAAATAATTTTTTTAAATATTTAAGTGATCATTATATTAATTTTTTACAAAAATTATTATCAAACTCTTCTTTTAAAAGTCTTAATTATTACTAAATTAGTTTTTTAAATTTTTTATCATTATTTTAGCCTTTTAATTCGGTGACTTTTCTTTTTATTTTTAAGTAATTAATTTAATAATAAATTAAATTTTAAAAAATTATTTGATAACAACATTTTTAAATTGAAAACTAGTGTAAAAATAATTTAAATATTTAAAGAATTATTTTAATGGCACATTTTTGAAAAATTAATATAATAACACTTGTTACTTTAAAGGTCCTCCAACTGTGAAACTTTATGAAATAAGTTTGAAATATTATTTTAAAATAATCTTAACTATAAAATATAGTTATAATATTCATCTTCATGTTGAAAATAGAGCTCAAGAAAAAATGCTCAAGGTCAAATTCACATGCTCTAAGTTAAAAGTCAGTCGATAAACCTTGAGGATATGAGTATCAAATAATTTGAAGGCTTTGATACTATTACTGGCCGGTAGCCCTTTAGAGGATTATGACTAGTGCTAGTACTAGTTTTAATAATATTGAGTGGGAAGATTAATGGATGTGTCTAGAGTAAGATCATTATGAGGCATAAAACTCTTCCCTTTTAAAAAAATATTAAACACAATTTTTAAAAATATTTTTACTTTAAAAAAAATCAAATGTAAAAAAATCAAAAGTAAAAAAATAAATTAAAAGTTAATTAATTAAATTTCCAGACACTAAGTGCTTAAAAATAAGAAAAGTAAAATTTTTTTAATTTATTCAATGTAATAATATTTATAGACATTCAATTTAATACTATAATTAATTTAAAATATTGTGAAATACACTACATTATTTAATATTTAATTAATTAATTTTATTTTAAAGGATAATATTTTTAAAATATAAATAAATATCATTATAAATAACATGCTTATAATTATTTAGTTTATTCAAAATTGAGTATATATAATTAATAATATATATATATATATATATATATATATATATATATATGAAAAAAGTAAAAATTGTAACAGCTGTGCAATAAATTCATCTTCTGTTATATGTATACGTAGGTATATTTACTACCTCCGTAATGGGATACTATTCCCTTCAACTAAAGCGAGATAGTATGAATAGGTAAGACAAATTAGTATCATAAGCATCAGACATGGAGAGAATTGAAGATTGAGCAAAGCAACGGTTTGGATGCGAATAACAAGAGTTCAGAGAGAAGCAAAGGCGGCGATGGGTGGCGGAGATCAGAGCACGGTGGAGGCATTTTTCTCAGTCACTCTAATTCTATGGTTGGGCTTCGTTTCTTTCCAGATACTCTTCAACAACAGCACGCAACTTCTCTCCGTCATCGCCGGTTCTTTCTTCTATCAAACTTCTAACTCTCTCATCCGTTCCCTCTCCGAAGACCCTCTCTTCGTTAACACCTCCGTCTCCCTTCTCCACTCCCTCGTCACCTCCGCTTCAGGTTCTCTTCAATTCCTTTTTTCACTCACAATCCTAATTCCCCTTTTTCCATTTTCTGTAAATTATTGCTTTTTTTTTACACTGTCAAAAAACGAGTCATTGTTTTCTCATGATTTTTCTCCTTTTTTCCCCCAAAAATGAAAAACATAGACGATTGGGGCAGATGAAGAAAATTTCGAGATGCAGAGAGCAGAGTCGTAGGGATATTGGTTGAGAATTAAATAAACAAATGAACTACTGTTGAGTGATAGTAACTTCTATAATCTAAGCCATTGATTGAATTGAAACTTGGTTCTTTATACAAAATTTTATACATTAGCTTGCTGTGGCTGATGTCCAGAGTTGTGAGTTCAGCCTCTTTCTCTTGTTAGATAGTGAAGAGGAAACAAAGAACAATATTTTGAAGCTGTCATTTTATGTAATTGTTATGAGTCCTTTAGTAAAGCATTTTAGAACTCTTGTTTTGTAATGGACTATGAATCTCTGAACATCCAGTAATTTTTTTAATTTACAGCATACTCTGATTGGTGGTTCTTTACTAAAATTCTTTTTTGATGGAATGTTGACAGTTCCCGTAGATACTGTCATGTTTAATATGGTTCTGGCTCTTGCTATTGTATGTTTTTTTTGCAGTGCTGTTCATCTTGTCCAGAGAGTGGTTAAGGAATGGGTCAAGTGGAATGTTTGACCACTCGCAGTTGGTTGAAGGTACTTGGCCATGGGCATTTCAAGCATTGAGCTTTTCATGTGGTTACTTTGCATATGATCAGTGGGATATGCTTCGTTATCGCTTATATAATGGCTGGATCCCTTCTATCCTGGTGCATCATCTCGTTCTCCTTATTTGCTTCACTCTTGCTTTGTATCGAAATGTCACCATCAACTACCTTATTCTCACACTTATCTGTGAAGTAAGCCTCATTTACATTGAAATTGAATTTTTATTTATTTATTTATTTGTGTACAATTGTTCCATATCTGTTTAATAGCATGGTTGGGGATTCACAACGGGTATGGATACACGTTTACTTCAATACTGTTAGTTATAGTTTCTTTGTTAAATTCGCGATTATAAGAATTTCAACATACACACACTAAGAAAACTAGAATTTTGGCACTAAGATTTTCCCCCCAAATTCATGTATGTATGTGTTGTTAAGGCCTTGTTTAATCTAAGGAGATTTTTTCTGTGATGGTGCAGTTGCATTCCATCTTTCTGCATGTGAGAAAAATGAGACGAATGGCAGGTTTTCGGGATGGGAAGAGCATTCTTGTGAAGTTAGAATGGATTCTGAATTGGGCCACCTTCTTTGTGGCCAGGTTTGCATCTCACATTCTCATCACGGGCAAGCTTATCAGGGATGCTCACAAATTTGAAAAGGGTGTGGAACTACCACTGGCTCTATTTGGCATGGCTGGGATGAATTTGCTGAACATTGGTCTTGGCATTGATCTCTTTAAAGCTTTCAAGAGAGAGAGGAAGTCCCAGCAGGGTAATCGTCATCACCATCGTGAATGATAGAAGATAAAAGCCTAAAACTCTGTCATTGTTACCTTTTGTGTACACTAGTACAAAATCAGCCCTCCCCTTTCTCCAAAATTTTATTATATGTACGAAAAACTTCCGGCTCTTATTTTTCAAAATACAACACAAATAGATGATTGTTATTCCTCAAAAAATTATTTTGAAGCATCAAGCATGTATGTAAAATTTAGAATGCAAGAACGCATGAAAGCATTGTAATTTTCAAGACAACAGTTGTATTTCTGGTTTTAATCAAATTAAGAATATTTAAATCATAGTGAGGTTAAGTTTTCTATTATGAGTTTTTTTTCTCATATACAAAATTTAAATAAGGCTTTACTTATAAAAAAAAACATGTATAATCTAAACCAACAAACTGTTAGTGGATAACCCAATTTTTATGATGATGTAAAACTTAAAATCTTACAAAAATGATACAATCTAAATCTTACATTATATTGAATTAAATGATCTTGTGAAAATTCAATGAAATTGCATAATAAAATTTCACCTTTTTTTCCCTTCAAACCCACACCTTAATTCAGAATTATTATCTCCATAATCTATGTCATTTACCGACATTAACACGTTTAAGGAAACTAGGTTGGCTCGTATGTTTGGTAAGCAGAAAAACCTTTTTAAACTTTAATTATAAAATTTGGAAAGCCATCAGCAACAAATGGGGTGGTGGCGCAGTTGGCTAGCGCGTAGGTCTCATAGCATCTGAGTTATCCTGAGGTCGAGAGTTCGAGCCTCTCTCACCCCATCAAAGAAAACACTTTTTATATATGGTTTATATGTTATACAGTTAAACCGCAGATAAGAAAACAAAAATTATATATATACACACACACTTGAGATACCTTTTTAGTCACAAAACCATAAAAATTAATCTTGGGTTCAACACAAGCATGAATTTCGACAAAAAAAAATTGATGTAGTCCCATGATAGATACCAATTGATTGTGTCTAAATATTTCTCTTTCAAGCAGATAAGACTAAGTTCTTATAACTTTTGAAATGAACAAGTGTCGTCATAGTTAGTTCAATATTTTGCAGAAACTACATTTCTAGTCGGATCCCACTCTCGGTTTGAGAGAGAAACTTTGCAAAGCCGTTTCTACTCTTCCCAGAACTTTCATGATTTGGCAAGTTGTTTGATGAAGGTGTTGAGCTTTCTTCATTTTTGTTTATGAATGGACGAGAGCTCTCTTCAGCAGACCTTGATGAACTGGAATTTCTTTTGGGTGAATATTTATCATTTGAATGCAATTTCCACATCTCTTTTCCAGCTCTAGCAATGAGTGATGGACTTGTAGAGAACTCTGGAATGCTGGAAGTGTCAATCAGAAAATCTTCTAGTGTTGCTAAGGAATTTAATTGATTTCCCAAAGATGCTATTGTTTTCTGGCACTCAGCAAGCTTGCCTGCAGCTAGTGCTAGGTCCTCCTGGCATGCAAAATGTCACATGCATTAAATGAGTTGTGTAAAACGTGTTTGATTAATTAGTTCCTCCCTACTTTGTAACTCATCTCAAAGTTAGAATATTTAATATAGATGTCAATGATGACCAACCTGCTTTAGCTTCATTTCACTGTATGAGTTGGTTATTGACCGGAGTTTCTCTTCATGCTTTTTTCTTTCTAACTCTTCCTCCAATTCCTTACACTGACTTGCAATTTCAACTAACATGGCCTTTTCTTTATCAACTTCAGCTTCTAATAAATGAACCCTTGCAGTTATTGATTGAGCCTCAACCTGCATGCTCATTAGTTCATTTTCCAACATTTGCTTTGATTTGTAGGCATTTTCTAGCTCTCTTCGCAACTCCTCCAATTTAGTTTCTGCCTCACTCATTTGAATTTGTGATGTCTCAATACACTCCTCACTTTTCATCAAACAAACTTGCAATTCTGCTTTTTCTGCTTTGACTTCCTCTAACTTTTCTTTTAGTTCATCCATTTGCTGATTCATAATGCCAAACTCGTCTCTGATGGAGCTTTCTTCGTTACTGCATTGATTGGCAACAACTAACTCCTGGATAACGCTTTCATTCATGGCATCAGGCAGTGCTGCAAGTTTTTCCATTTCAAGAAAATCATCCATGAGATCAATCTTAACAGAACCGGATGGAATTTGTCTACACTTCTCATTCTTGAACTGATCAAGCTCAGCAATTAGTGCAGATGCCCATGAGTCAGAACAGCTTAACTCACACGTGTCTGGTTCTGAGCCACTCTTCTTGCGGGTATCAATCTCCATTGCATTAGTCCTCTCTCCACTGTCTGACTGACTATCTTTAAGAGATTCAACACAAAATGAGGATGATGCAACTGAAGCCTTACTAGCCATGCTTTTCAGTCTCCGGCATTCAGCTTCAAGCCTGGCCACTTTGTTGATGCTTTCTAAATGTTGCTTGCTAGCCATCTCAGCTGCTTGAGTGCTTAAATCCCTCTCTATGGTGCTGATTTCCAGCTTTTCTGATTGAACTTGGACCTCATGCTTGAGAGCCATGTTCTCTTTCTCCAAATATTCAACCTTCTGACACATATCAAAATCAATGGATGAAGGCGATGTAGCATTAGAAACATCTGATTTGCTTTGGAGCTCCATGAGTTGGTTCTCAAGTTTAGTTTTTGCTGATTCCAACTCGTGTGTTTTCTTTAATACAGCATCATGAATATTTTGCTCCTGCTCTTCTCTTGTTTGTCTTAATTGCCTAACACACTCCTTAAGGGCACTGTCTAGATGGGTGACTTGATATTCCAGGGTTGAATTTTTTAGGGTCAGTGCCTTGAGTTGCTTCTTTAAACCTGTCACTTCAGTTTCAGCATTTTCCCAGCCTACAAGTTTTTGGAAATGGTCCAGTTAAGAGACAATCGAAAGGTCGAAGAAAGAGAAAGCGAAAGCGAAGAAGTATATACTTAAGAATCATTCTAGGTAAGCACTCAGATAGATCACTTGTTAGCCACTGAAAATAATGTACTGCTGTCATTACTCATGCGATTCCTAGTAAAATTCTATAAAATCTCACCAACCCTCCTTTTCACAACACCAGGCATATTCAAGGAAGAATAGGGAGGTAAACAACCAATGGATAGCCTGTGGTCATTGTAGGATATACAAACTAGAAAGCAAAGGAAATATGTACTTGTAATTGAAAACACGTGTACCTGCAATTGCTTCTTCAGCGACTTTGGCATGTTGCTTAGCCAAGTCTTCTTTGGCAGTGACATTCACTAGTGTTGCAGATAGCTTATCTGACATATTCATCAATCCATCAGTTACATCTGCACCAGTTATTTTATTACCCTTTGTTTGGTTTTCATCTTCCTCCAATAAATCATCATTAATGTTGTCTGTTGTATGGGAAGTGACTTCAGGTGATTGTGCGTCGATAAATGACGAATCATTAATATCTTCAGCTCTGACCACTGCTTTTGAGGTGACATCAGGTGACTGATTATGTTCAATAGGAGATTCTTTCGATGCCTCATGCTGCACAGACAAGAAAAACTTAAAGATGAAATTAACAGGATGCAGATCAATTTCCAAAAGATATGATATTTATGCTGAATTTAAGCTAATATCGGACAGAAAAAGTTGGTGTATACACCCTTGAATGCACTGAACATAAATGGGTTACAATTTATGGATCCATTTTCAAACAAACTACAAATGCTGTCAGTACCAATGAGAACATTTATCCCAGAAGATCTAGGTCTTCTCACAAGAAAAACACAATGGCAAAAATGTCTTTTCAAGGGAAAAATATCTGGAGTTTGACTTCATGAATTCAAGACAACTCGTTAAGTATTCTTGTTCTTTTTATCTTCCGGGAAATCTACTCATGTTACAAGAATCAAAATGATGCACATGGGGTATGTGATATATGCGTATTTAACTCAAATTAGGATATTTAATTATAGAAAACGTGAGAGAGGAAAATGCAAATCTAGGGAAAACCCTCTTAACATACAAGGAATTGAATGATTAAATTCACACATAAAGTGAAGAATTTCGTGTTTAACCACAGTGGCATTTGACTGTTTACCCGTTCATCTGAGTGCCTCTCAGAATGAGACATTGCAGACCCCGAACTTTCAGCTTCACCAGGGCTCTTCTCAGAAGATTTTCTCTTCCATAACCATCTCTTTTTCTCCATAACCTCACATTAACTTGAAAAGCGCAAAGAGTTCATCTGCATCATTACCCAGATGTTCAGCATCTCACTCAAAACACTCCATAATTTTTTGCTCAAGATTATAATGAAGAGAAAAACATAAAAACAAACTTGACAATGCTTCAGCTTGTTAGAGAAGTAAGAGAACGGACACTTCTAATCTACATGCTATATCCTTGAGAATTTGGAAAGTCAGACCCAAAAACACATTTCTTCTTCAACAATCTCAGTTGTTTATACAGAAAAGGACATTCTTAGAATACACCCATAACAAACACGCACAATGTATGAAAACAATGAACTTTAGCTTAACTAAACCTACAATGGATGAAATTGAAAAATAAATCAATCCAACAGATTCATACATCTTACGGCAAATTTACAAACCGAAGGTAATGAAATAGTAACCGGTAGCCATTGCAAAATATCCAAAAATGAGTGACCCATTTCAGCCATAGAACATAAAATGCCTCCAAAATTCCCATAAATCAAACAAGTGGTGAAAAAAAAAAATAGTCCTTTATAGCTCAACTACCAATCTATGAACTTCCAAACATAAAAGAAAAATGTAGAGGAAAAAAAGATTAAACACCTTTTACTGTTTAAATAACCTGCAAAATAACTGGAAAGAAAAAAATAATGGAATATTGGAAGGAAAAAATAGGTTCAGACTTCAGAGTATAGACTCAAGGTTTAAGACAAACAAAATGGAAAAGCAAACACAGGGAGTGAATAATAATAATAATAGAATACAAATCGTAGTAATAAAAATTAAAAAATATCGGGCAAAAAATCTCTGTAGAGTGCGAATTAGTATCCCACATATACATAACTACTACTGACAAGTGACAAACAAAACAAGTAGCATAGCAGGTACAGAGTGTTTCTATTTCTTGTTTCTTCTGTTGCCCTTTTCTTTTTCTTTCAAATATGAAAATACATGACCATGTGACTGTACATGCCTAGTTGTGGAATTCAAGGTCAAGGGACTCTGTGTATGACCACCATCATTTTTTTCAGCTTTTGAGAATAAATAAATGTAATTTCTTATATGATAGTTTGAAAATGAGCTTCGTGTAAGCCAGACATAGATGCAGGTCACTGTCCAGTTTCCTTCTTATTTGAATTATCTCGTTCTCGTGCATGCATACATATATATATATATATTTGAAAAAAGATTCTGTGTAATAAATTTCATGTGCTCGCATTACCCAAAAAAAATTTCATGTGCTTATGCACATTGCGAAAGCAAGTACACAAAGTCTTTTACGAGTATGTTTATTTAATGAAAATAGTGATATTAATTAAACCCTTACAGAAAGTATGCAACCTTGCATACAGAAGCTTTGAAGAACGTGAGATGCACGTAACTTACCCTGTCAATGGAAAACCTTATTACACGAGTTCTCAGTTTCTGCCTTAGACGTGTCTTTTTATTCATTGATCTAAATTCAACGAAAAAGGAAAAAAGGAAGACAAAACATTGGATCAGAGATTTCTTAGTCATTGTGCGGAATTGAATTATAGGAATCATTTATTTGTTCATACTTAATGTTTTACTAGGATACAACAAGTCCTTGGATGACTCCACACACCAATCACAATTTACAGATTGAGCACAGCGGTGTGTTTGAAAACAACATTAAAAATTATATAATATAAACAAATTGAATAAACATAGGCCTATATTTATTTTAACACGAATTCATGGTAGTCATAAAAATCCTAAGATTGGGAATCAATTCATTTGCCCGTGGGACATACCATAGCAGTGGCATAGACATATTATTCATACAATTATCTCTTGCAACACGTTTTACTACACTAACTTTTTTTTTATTTCATTTTACTACATTAATCATTTCATTTTATATTTTTCACCCTTTTTTATTTTTTGTATAAATTTTATATTTAGCAGATACTTTCACTTGCTCCACTGTATAGAGTGTAGATGATGATGATGTTAGCCCGTGACCCTTGCGTGTTTTGGTCAACAGCCCATGACTTACAGAATCGTCATATATCAGAAATAGTGCCTTGCTTGGCGCTTTTGTAAGTTAGAACAATGCCTTTCAGCACAGTAAGATTGGTCTATAAAATGGCGTCTAACCCAAAATGTGATTCACAGATAATTTTCATAGTGTTGAACCCTGAAACCACATCGCTTTAAATTATACAATGCTCCCCTTCCAATCACAGTGTTAAAATAAAATAATATCGGTATAAAATATTTTTAATAGAATTTAAATACTAACTGATATTTCATCACCTCACTTTTTAAAAATGTTTAAATTTTGTAACATTTTATACGCATAATTTTTGTAATAATATTATAATAATGAATAGCTAGAATAAGAAAATTTATTTTACTAAGTTTAACACTGTTGTTTGACTTGTATTATTTATTTCTTTTTGGTAATTTTTTTTAGCGGCATCAGTGCCTGATACTGTGATCAAACGTAGAATTGGTAAAATGTTGGGTGGCCCTACAAATAGAGCTTGTATACATCCAATCCTTCCATGTTGAGTTTTTATTTGGGCTTAGGTAGGTCCGGTTGAATCTACTACTACTTAGGCCCATAGAAGAGCATAACCCATACAGTTTTTTGTTTCAAGAAAAAATAAAGGGCTTGTAGGGCGTGAGCAATACGAGGTCGAGGAGAGCAATTTTTGCACGAGAAATTTGCTTAAATGTACAATTAATAAAAAATTTCAGGTGTATACAAAAATAATAATAGTAAAGACAATAAAATTTGTTTTAAAATTATTCAAATACTATTTTAAACTTTTGATTAACTATAATCATAGACATTATGCTTATGTAATAATGCATTAATTCATATGAAAAATCATAGAATCTAAGTGAATTTTATTTAATAATAAAATCATATATATATATATATATATATATATTTATTTATTTATTAAGTGTAGTTTGTCTTTTGCAGTACATATATTCACTGAGCATTTTTTATTATTTACTGTCCAGTTGTTTACCGTTAAGTTTTATATTCAAGTAACTAACATTTTATTTTCAATAAGTAATTTGATAACTTATTTAATCTATCTTACGACCCCGTCAAATAAGATTTAAAAATAATATTTTTGAAAAATGCTTTCAGGGTTTAATGTTTTGATGGAGTATTAATTTTTTTAGCACCTAATATATTTGCAATATAAATACAATATATTTTCAAATCGCTATAATCCATACTTTTTAACACTTGAGATTCAAATAAAAAAAAATACATAGGATTTATTCTAAAACTTTTTCCAGTAATCTCACTGTAAAAGAAATAGATTGATCTTAAATAAAATGTCAACTGATTGTGTGATATTAACATTAATATTGGACTTGAGTATACGTTAAGTCATTAAAAATATGAACAAAATTGGTTTTAAGGGTCTGCTCTTCTTCTTTTTCTTTTTCTTTTTTTTTATTTTGATCGTTATAATTTAAAAAAAAATCTTCTTATGATTTAATAATGATGTGACATGTATCTAATTAAATAAAGTTACTCGCCATTAGAAGTGGCATGTGTAACAAGTTTAGATGTGTCTCAAGTCACCAATAAATAATATTATTGAAAAAAAATATTTTTTTTATGAAAGTCAAAATTAATAATTTTAGTTAATATTAATATAAATTTATTCTTATTTATAATTATTTAAAATTCATTTTACCTTGATATTTTAATCTTTTTTTTTTTAATGAATCATACATCTTTCACAAAATGTAGGTTCTATATTTAATTTAATACTCATTTTCTCACTGAAGTCCAACGAAAATGCAAAATAATTTCTTATAACTTTTAAAACAAGGGATATGCATTAATTCATCTGCAACAACAGCTATATGCACATAATATATCAAACCATGGTAAAGTTTAGGAAAAATAATGTCCAGCCCCTCTAAATTTTATCCTTCTTTTTAAATAGGTAACTTAAATCTTATTTTTATTACAATTAATTCTTGAACAACCCTTCTTATAAATAAATAATATGAACTTAAATTGATAAAATTTTAGAATCAATTATGATTTAAAATGTCTATTTATAAAATGAGTAAAATTTACGAGGATAGAATACTCCCTCCTCCCTTGTTAGAAAAAAAACTCCCTCTCCTCCAAATTTTATCTACCAATATTTGAAATTAACAATAATTTAATATATATATATATATATATATATAATTATAAGTTAGGCAAAGTGTAATATTATAAATCTTATTGGTATTGGTATTGTTGTTTAATTAGAATTAGAGTTTCCCTTGAACGGTTCAATTTAAAGGACTTTTATCCTAAAACAATATTTGTGTACTAGGATATCCACAGTACTCTGTGGACGTGTCAAATCAGGATTTGTCAACTGGAGATTTCCTTGTCCAATCCTCCTACCTATTGGGGACTGGGGAGTTACCTATGAGTTAGAATAAGACCTGAGTTATAATCATCAAGAATCTGACACGTGTCCCTTGTCCCATCTCCCAAGTTACTGTTGTTTTTCTATTCACAAACACACACATGAAAATAAGAAAAAGCTTGAGCTTGATATTACATTTTAATTAAAACTCAACGGAAGAAAATAAAAATAAAAACAAAAAGAAAATCCAATAGACTGAGTGGGTGTACCAAAGTTAGAGGCAGCAAAGAAAGGCCCCAAATATTGTGTTTGTAATAGTTGAAATCAAAACATTATCACCATACCCACCCACATACATAGAGGAGACGTGGTCACTCTAGATGCCTGTCATTAACTCTCACACCACATCCACATCCCCATTAAAGATGGCATTTCCATTCTATCATATTTTGGTGCATTCTTCCTTAACAACATATTGGATATCACCCTCTACATAGACAAGCACCTAACACTTCCTATTGAAGCAAATGGCTCAAACCATGGTTCTCATGTCTAGTGTCTCAAGTAGCTATTCTGTGGATTTGAAGAAATACCCTTTGCTCCAACTACAAAGCCAAAGATTAAGGCCTAAGTTTTCTCATGTCTCATTCAACCCACTGCCTTCAAATTCTTTGCCCTTTTCATCCCGTACATTTACAACTCTCGCTCTTTTCAAATCAAAGACCAAATCCGCTCCTCCTAAGACCAAGGTACTCATTTTCCGTTTTTTCTAGTAAAGTTTGTGCCTAATCTAATGCTTCATTTTTCATCACTTTGAATTTTGGTTCACGAGATATGTCATCCATGCAGGTTACAAAGCCAAAGCCAAAGGTTGAAGATGGTGTCTTTGGCACTTCTGGAGGATTTGGTTTTACTAAGCAGAACGAGCTCTTCGTGGGTCGTGTTGCTATGCTCGGTTTTGCAGTGAGTAAATCTTAGCTTAGCTCTATCTACTCCTTACCACATGATGTTTTCTTATTTTCAATGTACTTGAGTAAGATCAATTTTTTCTTCCTCACAAAACTTTTGTCGTCTTTGACGACAATAACCAATTGAACAATTTTGATAGGACAAGATTTAAAATTATATATTCAAAACAAATAGCTAAAAAATATTCTTTCAAAATTAATTTTGAATGTTCCTTGTGTAATATTCGCACAGCCACTTAATAAAACAAGAGTAGATAATTTACACCACTGATTGGTGCATTTGCAGGCATCATTGTTGGGTGAAGGTTTAACAGGCAAAGGAATTCTAGCACAATTGAATCTAGAAACTGGAATTCCTATCTATGAAGCAGAACCCCTTCTTCTCTTTTTCATCCTTTTCACCCTTTTAGGTGCCATTGGAGCTCTAGGTGACCGTGGTAAATTTGTTGACGATGACCCTCCTGCTGGAGCTGTTATTCCTCCAGGCAAAGGCGTTAGAGGAGCTCTTGGTCTCAGTGAAGGAGGTGACTTTCACAATGCTTAATTTTTCAATAAATTCTTTACCTTTTAATATCTTCCACGTGTTTATTACTACTCTTACTTAAGTAACTTTTGTCTAAAATATATTATAAGTGAAAAAAAAGAGAACATTATGGTATAGAAGTGAAAACAGACACGCTAGCAAAGTTGTGTTTAAATTATAATGCATATAAGCATAATCTAATGTAAATCTGAATGGATTACAATTTTGAGCTGTGGCATTACCAGGTCCTTTATTTGGATTCACCAAAGCCAATGAGCTCTTCGTGGGAAGATTGGCTCAATTGGGTTTCGCTTTCTCTTTGATCGGAGAAATTATTACTGGGAAGGGAGCTTTAGCTCAGCTCAACATTGAAACCGGGGTACCAATTAATGAAATCGAACCGTTAGTGTTGTTCAATGTTCTTTTCTTCTTCATTGCTGCTTTGAATCCTGGAACTGGCAAATTCCTTACTGATGAGGAGGAAGATGATTAGATACTAACCCCTTTGTTTGTACCTAAAGAATACTTGTTTTGTTCATCTTCTATCAATGCATTGAGTTCATAATAAACAGTTCCATCGTCTCTCTCAAAAGTTGCATTCGTGTCTCGATATAGATACTTCACACTTGTCACGACAATGTGTCACCATTTTTTCACTTTGCTTTAGCAAATAAAATCATATTTTTTTTACCAGTACAAAAATCATAATAGAACTCGACATTCAAACCTTTATAATCTCTATATAAAAACCAAAATGAGGTGAATGAAATGAGACATTATTAGGAGAAGAATAATCAAGAAAACAGTTCGTTTTGAGAGTTTCAATCGCACCAGAAAGATACTTTTTTTTTTATCTTTCATTAGATTGCTACAAGAAAGTACGGGTTAAGAAGATACTTGACGCGTTCTTTGCTATTGATCAGAAAGATCTGAAAAAATGATTAACCGTTTTGTATAAATTCTGCTTATCATAGTAGTTTTAGAATTTAATTTAAAAGTTAAATTAATCTGTTTATACTTATAGAATCTTTTCAATTTTTAATTTGGTCTTTATAATTTTAAAAAAGTAATTAAATTTTTAATAATTAACGTTATTATATACCTGCTCAGTATTAATGATGTGATAATCTTTGTATAATTTAGTAATTTATCTTTTTTCTCTTTTTTTTGACTTTTTTATATTTATTTTCATAAGTATTTTCATAATTTAGTAATTCAGTATTAATGTTGAATTATTGTTACATTTAGATTCTGCGTTCTGATAGAAAAATGTTTTAAGTAATTTTTTTTATCGTTTATTCATTTATTATGATAAAATATTCATATAAAGTTGGTATAAAAACTTAAATTCATGATAGAAGAAGTTAAACTCTAAACTTAAACCTTTTATAAAAATAATTTTTAAGAGTCTTCAAGATTTTAGAAGTAATTCATTTTTTTTTATGTTTTCTAATTTACCATATTTTAGCTATTGTGTGTTAAATATGTGAGTATAAATATAATTTAAAAGATAAGTTCCTAATTTAGCATTGAATTATTTATCACCTGACAATAATAGGATTTAGGAATTTAAGGTATGGTCTTTGAATTAAGAAAATTTATAACATTTATAATGATAAAATATAATCAGAATTTTTGTTAATATATTAATTTATATTTTTATTTAAAATAATTTTTCCTCTCTTTTCTTTTAACTCATTTTCAAATAATTCTTAGAGAATAAATCTTATGAAAAATAACTATAAAAAAGTTAATAATCTTATTAATATTTAATTAAAAATATCTTATCAATAATTGTAAGATAAATATACCTATATGAAAAAATTTACACAAGTACTCAATTGTAAATTATCATATGAAAAAAATATTATAAATTTTTATTTGGATAATGTTATAATGTTAAAAAAATTGATTTTAACTAATTGTCAAGATGCTTTTTATAAAGTTAAGCGTTCTCTCAAAATAAACTCAATTCAATCGGCATTTGCGTGATGCTTCCCAGAGGACGTTTGGTTGAGAAGAAAATGATTTAGAATTGGGTTTATATAATTATCATCATTACAACCTTAATTGGCAAACAAATTCCATTGGTCATACAATGTTATTTTTTATTATCTTTTGAAACGTGTCATCAGAAGGTTATTTTGGAGTTTTCTATTGCCTCTGTCGGCGCAACACGGAAACACAAGGTCATTTTTTATTTTGGTTTCCCGTAACAAATATAAATAAATAACCTTTTTTCAAGATAAATAAAACTTACATTTATATAGAGAAATAATTAAAATATAAATGTACAAACTTCTTTTTAATCACGAATTGAGTACTAACAGAGTACGTGTCATTAGATACTTGTTACTGTTGTTATAAATTTAAGAAAGTATTTTATATTTTTTAAATTAATAGTTATAATTTAAAAATAAATCATTAACTCTCGTTATATGTTATACTTATCATGTGTTTATATAAAATCAACGAATATATATATACTTTTTTAACGTTATGACTTTGGATATTTATTTAATAATTTTTTGAAACAATAATTTATGTTATAAATTACACCAAAAAATTATTAAATTTCATAAATATAAATACTAAAATAAAAATCTAATATATATTAATAAATTTTATAAAATTTATAGTATTTAATTAAGCTTGTATTGAATTGCACCTTAAGTGTTATGCGGGTTGGGTAAAGTCAAAGTCGTCATCATTCCCTGGGACACGTTCCTACACAAAACGCGACACTAACTTCCAAGAAGGCAGTTTCTTCTTCTTCCTCTCTCTCTCTCTCTCTCTCTCTCCACTCATCATCTCAAAATGAACAATTCGGTGCTCAGCAATGGACACGTTCATCACAATTCAACCTCTTCTTCTCAAAGGGATGTCCACTACAGGTTCTTTCCCTTATAACTACGAACTACCGCCCACTTTTTTCTATTTCCATACTCCATTCAATACATCACATCTTTTCAATTTCTTAGGGATTAAGATTTGTGTCCTTTTATGCCTCCTTTTTTCTTAATTTATTTGTTTCATGTCTATAGTCTCGTTGCAATTGTTTCTCCTTTTCTAGTTGTTTCTTGCCATAAGTACCATGTTTCTACGCCCTGTGAACTGAAATTCCAATAGTATCTCAGTCATTGTGCATTCCAATGTCACAATTGCATTTGAACACAACTATTTAGGGGCTGGTGTAAATGAAAATAAACCACTTTCAAAAAAAAAAATTGGTGTATGTCACTAAGTAAATAGAAAGCCATAGTATTAGACAATTTACATTCGAGAGATAATTACTTGGTTTTTCTAATTATGATTTTCACATAATAACTAATTTACTTTTATCTTTTTGCAATTCGAATGTCTATCTATGTTTATGGCAGTTGTGGAACATGCGGGTATGAACTTAACCTATCATCCTCTAACCGGAACATATCATCCATTGGTTCTAAATATGGGAAATCCATAAAACGAGGTATTATATCATTCATGAATGTTGATGATAGCAGACTCACCCAGGTTGATGAAATTGAATGTGTCCCACATTTTTCTAAGCACTCGTGGGGTTTGTTCCGTCGAAAAACCAAGCTTCTTTGTCGAAAGTGTTGCAACCATGTTGGATATGCGTACAATGATTACACTTCATCTTCCTTTCCTCTTGTTTCAAAGGGAACAGAACCATCCCCTGCCACTGAAGCATCGAATCATACGAAATATGACATTCGCATTCGTGCCTTACAGCCATCATCTTCTCAAGAATATGGAATCTCTGTTATAGCTTGAATGCGTCGTGAAAATTCTAGTGTTCCTTCCTTCATAATCATCACCAACGTGGTTAGGAGTGGGTTTAGAGTTACTAATATACGAATGTTCTGTTTTGGCAAGGGTTTGTTCGCTATTCCATTTTTCTCGAGTGGGATTAATTTACTACAAGATTTGTAATTGTAAAAATTAAACTGAAAAGGGTTACGAATGTTGGATTTTTTGGGGTGTTAATTTGTATAACTTCTGAGAGAGTGAATATTTGTTATTCTAAATTAAAAGAATGTAAAAGTTGGCCCTTGTCAATTAGAGATTTTGTTCTGCTGTCAAGGTCAACGATAATCAAACATATAATTCATGGTTTTTATTTTGTTTCTTGGGCTTTGCCTCTGGACCTTCCTCTCATTTAAATCAACAGCCCATACTTTTTGTATCCTCTTTTTTTTTTTCCTACCTTCTAATTGCACCACCCTTATTTTTTAAAAACTTTTTATCTTAAAAATACCCTCAAAACCATTTATCTACTATTGAAAAAAGGTTGAATTTCAAATATTGCAAATTTTTGAAAACTTATTTTTAAAAGCTATTAAAATAAACATTCAAAAATTTAATTTCATGTGTTTTCTAAATCTTTCAAAATGTTATTTTATAAATAATAGACTTTCTAAATTAAGGCTTTGTTTGAGAGTTAATTTTGAAAGAAAGGAGAAGATCTAGATGATAGTTATCTTTGTTTAGAAGATTTTTTAAATAAGATGGAAAGAGTTTGTAAATCATTCTAAAACTCTCCTAATCTCATATTTTTACGTTTTCTTATTTAGAATGTTTTGAACCAATCATCTTTCTTTTTCTCTTACTTTTTTTTTTCAAACTCTTAAACAAAAGACATGAACAAATTTGAAGGTGATATTAATTATAAATTATTTAGAGTAAAAAGTGTTTAAAGGACTAAGAGTAGCGTGAATACAAAAAAGATGCAGCGCAAATGATAAAGGGTTGGTTTTAACTTTTTTTCGTTACATCACAATAATTTATTATAAAATTTTCAGTTTTTAAAAGCATTTTTAATATAAGTTTCTGAATTTAATTTTCAAAACTAATTATGAACATACTATCAAAGTTTAAATTCTAGACTAAATTTAAGAAAAAAACAATTTTTTATCATATAAAAAATATATAAAAGAAATATAATAGTGTGTGAAAAAAAAAAGGTGTGAAAAGCAGCCCCAAAAGTTTGAGCCTAAATTTATATCTTAGGACATCCACAACAACAAAAAGTGAAATCAACATAGGCCCAAAAATTAAAATAAAAAGGCTTTATGTACCTGGACTGTTCCCTGAACATGGCAGCATAAGATTTATTAGCACTTATGTATATCTCAAATGCGTCTTAGGTAAACATTTCTAATCCTTCACTCTTTTCATTACTTAGATTAGAGCGTTTCTATAACCACCTTCTCACCACTGACAACGTAATGAAAAGCTCACCACAGCCACCTCATTCTTATTTTATTTTATTTCATAAAACTAATCACATGTAATTTTGTTGTTTTGAAAAGAAAACACAATAATTGCGGATGGCGCATTACATAGTAAATACCCTCAATTTACTTATATTTTCATAACTTTAAATTAAATGGTTATATTAATATAATCTCCTTTTTGTAAAAAGTTATTAAATATGCCATTTGACATCTAATTTATTTAATCCTAACCCTGTATATATAATATGATATTATCATATATTAATAAATAATATACTATTATTATTTACATAAATTTAGTGCACACACTATTTATTTATTTTTTCTATTTTTTTTAATTTATCAAAATTATTTTTTTTACAAATAAAAAATGCATTATTTTACATATTCTTTTTTTTACACGCCGGTCTAACTCACGGGGATAAACACTTGCTTTTTTGCTTCTTTTTTTTGGTTTTTTCTGTCATCGCTGATTTTTTAACGCTAATCTATTGGCCAAACAAATTAAACTAGCAACAGGGATTTTCATTTAAAAATATACCATGATTCCAATATATATACAGGGAAATAATTTTTCTTAAATATTGAATTTCTTCAAATTTTCAATCTCACTTAACTAGTTGCATACTCATTTCTCATCTAACAGATTATCTAGCAGTTTGATAGCCACTGATATGCATTAGTTAACTTGCTATTGTCAACTAGTCTAGCACTCTTATCATTAGTGCAAAACTTTCTGAGCTCATATCTTCAAACCATGCTTTTCCTGTTTGCGTAAAGTAAAGGACCATCTCAATTCAAATTTTTTGAGATGAAAATTGTGTGTTTAAATAAATAAATTTTTGGCTAAAATAATTTGAAGAGTGATTTTCTAAAACACTCAGGGCATCGAGGTGATACCTCACATTGTAATTTTTTTTCTTTAATATTAATATTATCAACGTCCAAAACAATAAAAACAACAGAAAGGTGGAAGTCGCAAATTGTTCTGATATATTTCTCTGTCATTATTATGGATATATAAAAAAGAAACGGAGTAAACCCCCCAAACTGTTCAAGATTACATAACTTGTTTATTCAATTTTTAAAAATTTTAAAAATGTTCATAAGACTAATGTAAGGCTTCTGAAATCTAAAGGACCAAAATGTTCAATTAAGATCATTTTAAGGATTAATCTAGGGTGTAGCCGTAAGAAATGACTCAAAAGAAAATTGGTGCAAGCAATATTTTTTAGGCTCCAAAATAAAAGGGTCATCAATGAGATGGCAACAAAAGAGAGGGTTCATTTCACATGGGCTGTTATGTTGTAACTTGGAAATGAAATTGACAAGAAAGTGAGAAGTTAAAGCAATACAGGAAATAAGTGAGCAATAGTTAAACCAATAGGGACAGAGTGGAGGTTGTGAACAGTGGCCTAGCCATTAAGATGTCCGGAGTCTAAATTGCCATTATTGATCTTTATAATATTTGGTTTATCAGTACACTCTGTATAGAGCAACTTCACTTTTTTCCAATGTTTGACAAACAATTCAAAGTGGCCTATTAAAGACTATTTCGACTAAGGATCACCGAGAAGAGACCCTTGTAATTGAAGGCTTGTGGCCAAAGAAACTACAGTTAGGTGCACATAGTGTTGCGGCTCTACATTGTCATTTGTCATGGATGAGCTCACTTTACCAATAGTAAGAACTTTGAGCGGTCCTCAGTTGCCACTCTCGACCCTTCCAATCACATAAAGCTATAATAATTTTTTATGCCAATGCATTACACATAACAAATTGATATTCCAAAGGAGCACATGTACACATGCAGGCCTTGACAAGGAGAGACAACCCCTCTCAATTAGCATATATATACAAACACATGCATACAGATATACCATCAAGATATAAAAAGAATTAAAGATTAAGCATTAAATGTGAAATTACAATGGTATGGAGGATGTGAACATATAACCACTTTTAGGTGGTGAGGCATAATGCACAAATTTCTTAAATTTTATTCATAAAATAAATGTTTACATAGATTTGTCAATTGTATATGCGATGCTCTATCTTTTAAGCTTCTCTTTCGTATTGGTTCACCAATTTGACATAAATTCAGTTTTCTTTGTTTGAAAGGAAATGGATTAGCTAAGTTCTAACTCGGGATAAAGGTACTCATCTCACATCGCAGGGCCTTTAAATATCCAAATTCCTAAACGTAGGCATAAAGCAATATGTGTTTGTTTTCTACAGAAAATTTTCAATCATATAATTCCTATGATCCAAATGGTGCCACATTTCCTCTATTTCCCTCATCTGATGCACTTGTTGATTTTTAGTTGGGTGAGGATTCGATTATGTCTTGTCATTTTCTTCTGCTCCGAATAAAGCTTTTCTCTATCAGCCCCTTCCAATGTTGTGGTCCTGATGTGGCAAATTCATGTCCCTACCCCTAATGCCATCGATCACTTGGGGACAAATTGGTTTTGTGTAGGACACCTATCACACCATTAAGCAAATTATAAGGGCCTAATCGGACAAACACACATGCAGTATGACTTACGTGGGAAAAACATATTATTGAGCAAATAATTTTCAAGTTAATTTTTTTAAAAATATGTTTAGACTTTTTTCTATTAATAAAAAGAACCCATCGATTGTTATACCGAAAATTGGGAACAAGACATTCTCCCCCTAAGACAACTATAAGACAAGTCATGTAGCATTATGTTACAGGGCCCTTATGCTTCATTGTTTCCCACTATGGGTACCTAACATGGGGAGTTTTGGCAGTGCCTCAGTATGGAGAGTACTCAAATGTTCATCTTATTTAAGTATAAATCTTTAAATCCAAAGCAATTTCAACAAACCCTTTTACAGTCTGTACTGTCTATAGCGATGAAGAAATTAGAAAAAAGAATTACAAGAAAAACCCCATCCCCCAAGTACTCAAAGCATGCAAAGCACTACCCTTTTCTTTTTGGTAATCTAAAGCACATTTTGGAGCAAGTAACAAAGCTAATTTTGACTCTACCATATCAATAGTGTGATATAACTTTACAGTGCACACTGCAAAGTGTAGACCAAAGGCACAAATGGTCTTTCTTTTGGTTCCTTTATTCCATGGTCGTTTTCCTCTTTGTCAGAGTCCTCATCCAACCCTTTCTCACCTTCACTCCCTCTACCTTGCTGCCCACGTGGCACACTCCTCCATTCTTCTTCCATCTAATGAGCTGGAACATGTGACCTATCCGCTTTCGCCACCTCAATGTGTCACGTGACTTCCCATGCTCTATCACGCTCTTAGTGTCCTTGCTATTGCTATGATGGTTCCAGGACATGGACATCTTAGAGACCGTGCCCTTTTTTTCCCACGATGCCACCCCATTCTCTTCAAACTTGATTGAGATGAATGAGTCTGCAAAGTTAAAGTCATTCCAGAATATCATTGTCATTCGTAGCTACCAAGACAAAAGAAAAAGGAAAATGTAACTCTTTGCGGAGATACACAAAAGAATAAGTTACTTTACTAGTATAATGCCCTAAGGTTTGTTTACTTTTTGTTTTGTGCTTTATATTATGGAGTGTAGCATTCTTGCACCTAGTCAAATGAAACTACCATTTTTGGGTATATAGAAAAACAAAATAAAATCAATGTGATATATTATTATATATTTGCTCTAAATTAAGGTCTTACACGCCTAATTGTTCTGAGTGTCTATGCTGCCGACGGATTTGGTTCTTGATTGACCGCGGATACAAAAATCTAATGTACTTGGCAC